AACTTACTGAGTTTCCTTTATCACAAAATTGTGATATGCTTAATAAGCTGTGTTTGAGGCCCTCGACTAAAAAAACGTTATCAATAGCTTGGGAACTTGACCTTCCAACTTTTCCTACGGCAACAATGCTGCCTTTCTTATTATCACCAAAGGTCACAGTTCCTCCTGTATAGGCCGTCAGTGAGAGAAATCTTGATTCATCTCCTGTCATGTGCTTGGAACAACCACTATCGAGGTACCATTGGTTGTTCCCCCTCACTACGACCTCCTTTGACCTTTCACTGTGTTTAGCCATCAAACACAGGTTTGCAGTTTCTTCTTCCGTGGATTCTTCTTCATCCTCAGAACTTGTGTCTCCCCACGCAGCTATCATGGCTTTCCTGTAATCAGATTTTGAAAAGTTAGGAGTATTAGATTTTCCGTGTTCCTTCATTTTGCCTTTTCCTTTTTCTGATTCCCAGAGAGGGCATTCCTTGATGAAGTGATCTGTGTTCCCACATTTGTGGCAACCTCCTGTTTCCTTGGAGTATTGGTTCTTCTTGAAGTTCCTTTTCTTTTGGTCACCAAACCTTTTGTTGCGGTAATGCTTTTTTAACTTCCTGACTAGCATGGCAGCTTCTTCCTCTCCAGATTCGGAATCCTCATCACTTGGTTGGGCAACTTTTAAAGCGATTCCTCGGCTTTTTGAGCTTTCTTGACTTTTGTTTGATAGGTGAAGCTCATGGGTTATCAAGGAACCTGCAAGTTGTTCAAGGTTAAAGGTTATAAAGTCCTTTGATTCCTGCAAAGCAGCCACTTTGGCTCTCCACCGTTCATCTTCAGGAAGGCTTCTTAGAATTTTGCGTACCTGTTCATCCATAGGAACAACTCTACCAAGAGAAACTAATTCATTAGTAATATTTTTAAAACGAGTAAACATTTCTTGAATAGTTTCTTTTGAACCCATTTCAAAACGTTCATATTTAGAAAGCAGTATATCAATTTTAGAACGTTTGACTTCATGAGTTCCTTCGTGGGTTATTTCTAGTAAATCCCATATTTCTTTTGCTGTTTTACATCCCATAACACGAGTGTGTTCATCTGGCCCTAAACCCCAAACTAGGAGTTTTTTAGCAGTAGCATTAATCTCTTTCTTCTCAAAGTCATTTCTATCATATTCAGAGATAGGTTTAGGAATTACCTCATTTTCTGCATTGGTCTTGGTTACCTCGTAATCTCCTACTTCGATAGCTCGCCAGACTTGATAATTCTCGGACTGTATGAACATCTCCATCCTTGTCTTCCAATAGGCATAGTACTTCCCATTGAAGAGTGGTGGTCTTTGTGTAGAGTAACCTTCAGCTAGTCTCTCGTCCTTTGACATTGTTCCTCCAGGAACTTGACTCGACAGGGCTTCCTGCTTTTCCGAGTTCCTTGCTCTGATACCAATTGATAGAACAATGTATACTACAAGAGGGGGGGTGAATTGTAGTGTATGTAGACTATGGTAAATTTTGCGGAATTAAATCTAATACTAAGAGAAAAGACACTGAGATAGGCAATGAATAAATTCACTATGTAAAAATGATTTACAATCACTAATACGTTGCCTAGACTCAAGTTCCGTGAGGAACTCAAGTTACCCAACTGTGATCCCTCAATCACAGTTTCTCACACTTTGTGATTCTACTCCGAATCACTTGTACAGTGTAAACAACTCTCTCAAGTCTCACACTTTACAACTCTCACAACCCCAATCCCAATTACACATTAATTACAAGGATTTCCTAAAGAACTTAAGAGACTTAAGGATGGAAGGAACTCTGGTTTCAAAACACTTAGAAACTTTTACGCTCAGAAAACTAAAGTTGTTTTTCCACACTTTCAAAACTTAACGTTGATCTGTTTTTATAGGGAGATTATCCAAGCTTCCATCATGTTCCTACTTCCCCCTCAATCCCACGTTCACCTATACTGGGAAGTTGGGATGTAAGTGGAGGAAGTTGAGAACCATGATTTCACTAACTTGACTCCCAAATCCAACGTGCATCCTGTTTTTAAGTAAACAGTTATTTTTACTAAGTCAAAAATCAGTTAAGGATTTAAAAAGATAATTATTTATTAATTAAAAAAGATAATTGTTTATTAATTAAAAGATAACTAAATAATTAATTAATTTAAAAACTTATCTTTTAAATTAATGAATTATTTTGATTTTATTTATTTATAAAATAAATCTTTTTCAAAACTGATTTTATCTTTTCCTTAAATTAAGGGATATGAAAACTGTTTTTGAAAACCATCGTTTAAACACTTTTCTGAGCATCAGTCAAGTTCCTTCAAGAATTCCAGATTCCATCAGGAACTTTGAGTTTCTCATGAGTTCCTTCCAACACTTTTGTTTCTTAAGTTCATGCACTGAATAACTAAGTATACTAGAGTTGTGAGGACATCTTGAAAGCTTGCATTCATCATCAAGTCTTCCAAACTCTGTTGTTCCTACTCCGGAACATATATTCGTATACCTGAATCTTTCTGTTCAACCAAGACTTATAAACATCATTAGTCAGAGTTTGTTTTACGTAAGTCAATCATTAAAATATTAAGGTGGTCAATTCAACAAATATCATCGTGCAAGATACGTTCTAACTCAATAGGAGGGAATTGAATCAACTCAATATTGTTGTTCTGGACGACACCTTAGTTTGCTAGCCAGTCCGCGGCCCTATTTGCCTCTCGATAAACATGTTTAAGTTGCACTTGCCAATTATTTTCTTCAATAAGCTGCTTGCATCTTCTAATAATATGGTACCCTTGACCTCGTTGAACTTCTACATTTCTCAAAGCTGCAACCACAGTTTGGCTATCAATCTGCACTTGAACTTTGGCTGCATCTATTCTCTTCGCAAGCTCCAAGCCATACTCTACTGCTTTTAACTTTGCCATGTAAGCATTGCAAGTTCCCAACTTGAGGGAAAAACCATACAGAAATCTTCCAGTACAGTCCCGTATTACACCTCCCCTACCTGCTGGCCCTGGGGACTGGGATCCCTCTAGCAGCCCCATCCGTGTTCAAAGCTAGCCACCCAACAGGGGGAGATAACCATCTAATGTAAGCCTCTTCTCTCGCTCTAGCAGGATGTTGAGTACTACTCACATCACTTCCCAACACACGCCAAACCTCTTCGAATCGTGCAAGTAGGAATTGGTTTATATCAATATAAAAAAATAATATTAATGGTACTTAAAAAAAGCAAATGTGACTAATATTTTGAGTCACCAAAAATGGCAAAAGTGACTATCAATCGGGGGCGAAGGGATAAATAAAAAAAGTTATTTTCCTTATCAAATAAATAATTTAAACCATTAGTGCGTGTTTAATAATATTTAACTATAAATAATTAATGAGTTAAGCTAGAATAAAGATGATCCAATATGTATGTTGAGAAGTCTAAACTAATGTATTTTTTTTTTTGAACAAAAAAGTCTAAACTAATGTAAATAAAAGCATCCCTTCAAAAAAAAGAAAAAAAAAATGTAAATAAAAGCATACCAGCCAATTGTATGATAAATTGATAATTATTACTTCCTTTAATTTGTTTCACATTGTTAATCCCCTTTTTGGAAAAAATCACTTAATATAAGATGAGAAATCCTAGTAATTTGGAATTTAATTGCATCTTTAATATGTAATTAATGTTTTGTATTTTTTAGTTTTATTTGTTTTATTAATAGGAATTGGTTGTAATTAAATCACCTATTATAAATGTTGATTGAAAGAATTAGCCATGTCAGCAATCCACTAGCACATATATTAACCAATCAGAATTATTTGACTCTTTAAATACCCAATTACATTATTAATATATTCAATTATATGAGGGTCAATTTTTTCACAAATAATTGATCATGAAATATAATTTATTTGATTTATTTCCTAATATACATTATTACATTTATTAGAATTCTTAAGAAGGATTAATCAATAGATTAATTTGTTAAAATGATAATATATTAATGAAATATAATTGTTCATATTGATATATTCAATTATATGAGGGTCAATTTATTCACAAATAATTGATTGTTAAATATATTATATTTAATTTATTTCCTAAATTACATTATTACATTTATTAGAATTCTTTTTTTGTTTTTCTTTGAAAATACATTTATTAGAATTCTTAAGTGTGTTGTTTCAAGAAAAAAAAATTCTTAAGTGTGAAGTTTTAGAATAACAAAAAATCATATTAATTTATGATTAGTTTTAATTTAGATTCTTTTTATTATTTTTTTACCGCGATTTTATTTATGATTAGTTTTAATTTTATACTCTTATTTTATTTGTTGTGGTATTTAACTTTATATTAGTTAGGCAAATTTTTTTTACTTCGGATTCGTTTGGCATTGTTGCGGTTTTCAGTTTTTTGGGTTTTTGTATTTTAAAAGTGTGTGATATATATGTCATATAATGAATAAAAAATTAGTCAAACTTATTAAAATCATGCTAATTCTGAAAACTGACAATTGACAACTGAAAAGTGAAAACACTTTTTTCTTGTTTTTAGTTTTTGGTTTTTTGTTTTAAAAAAAAAACTGAAAACTAAAAACAAAAAACAATGCCAAACAAGCCCTTCTTTAATTGCTTAGTTTACATTCCCTATATATGGTCTCAATAGTATTTGGATTTTAAGGTGAGTAGATTATAGAGTAGCAATGTAAAATTTAGGCGAGCTCTCAATTCTATTGGCTTTTTAGGCGAGTAGATAAAATTTACAAAGGATAGTATCGTAAATTTAAAATTTTAACCCGAGAGTGTGGGACCCACCTTCAAGATTTTAACCTACCTATAACTCTACAAGACTACAACTCTACAAGTGCATCATTCATTCATTCATTCCTATCATCCCCTCCTCCTCAGTTTCATCTTTTTATTCAGTTTTGTTTATACACTTAAAAGAAAACCCCAAAAAAAAAAAAAAAAAGGTTTAATTTATCTTGTTTTTTTCTTGCTTGGTACCATGATTAAGCAAGATATCTCAAAAGACATGGATTCAACCCAGTTGAAGAGGAAAAGCCCTAGTTCAACACCACCATCAGAAGTGTTTCCTGATCTCATCGAAATCGATTCGGATTCCGAGGACGAGTCGAATATTAATAAAACCAATGATAATGATGATACATTCATTGAGAGAAGGTCGAGTTTTTCTGAAGATTCTTTTGTTGATGATAACAGGCTAAAGAAGCCAAAGGTTGAGATAATTGATGATGATAATAATAATAATAATAATAATAATAATAATAATAATAATAATAATAATAATAATAATAATAATAATAATAATAGTAATAATAATAACGGTGATGATGATGATCAAGAAAATTTTAACGATGTTTTACCAGTAGGGTTTCTTGACCCTCTCCCTCCTTTGGAAAGGGAACTTGTTGACGCTAGTTATAAGAATGCCGGTATTGTTAGTAATGTTACGACGGCTGCTGTGACCGCCTCGTCGAATGTTGCTCGTAAACAGTTCTGGAAGGCTGGTGATTATGACGCTTCTTGTGTTCTTGGGGCTCATCCATCCACCTCTTCTTACTCCGGTATTTTTTTTTATTTATTTATTTATTTTTGTGTGTGTTGGATGAATGGTGAATTGATGAACTTTTGTATGCTTAGATTAATTGTTAGGGTGTTTTTTTTTTTTTTTTTTAATGAAATTATTTTTGTTTGTTTTATTTGTTATCTTAATTGGAGTTACAATGGATAGTTGTTACGAGTAACTTATTGGTGAATATGAGTCATACTCTTTGTAATTGAATCATGAATGATTGTTTAAATCTTCATACAAGTATAATTGTGTTTTCAATATACTTAAATATCCTTGCATTATAATACTCCCTTTGTACAAGGGAAAAATGGCCAAAGCGTAACCAACAAAAAAGAGTGAAGCTTATTATTATTGTTCGGTGTAATTTATATAAATACGTATTACTCTTGTACTTATTTTATATATCCCAAAATTATGGGAGCATTGTTGATGTTGCAAACACCTAAAACTAAAATGCTAGTGATGCTTGAATATCTTTTGTGCACCTAATGTACATATGATATGAAAATGGAGATAGTAATAAAAAAAAAATTGGGTACATGAGATGCTAGATGAAGTTTTCTTTGTCCTTACCTGGCCTTTCGTACAAAATAAGTATAATCAAGGCAAAATTATTGTAGCAACTCCGCGATAAAATTTATCTAGGGCCAATTTGCATCATTGTGGTAGACATATTGAGCATATAAGTAACACCAATCTATGAAAAACTGAATACTGAGGAATTCAACTGATTGGTAGTGGAAAGAATTGGTTTATCAAGAAATCAATAATATAGTAAAATTGCTTACAATGCTTCAATTCATTGTCTTAGCCTTATTTAATTTTTCGTTTGAGATCAAGTTACATTGCTTGATTCTAACAATATCTTTTCTCTCATTTACAGCCGGAATGGATCATGTTAGAGTCCATCCAAGGTTTTTACATTCTAATGCAACAAGTCATAAATGGGCATTGGGAGGTAAGCCTTGATTGTGAAGAATTATTATACAAAAATAGGCTCATTATGAAATGAAATGCTTACATACTTATGGTGCTCTGTTTTTCTTATATTCTTATACAGCTTTCGCCGAGCTCCTTGACAATGCTTTGGATGAAGTATGCACACAGATCTTAAACCACTGATCAAATATGCATCTCATGCAGACTATTTTTTAAGGCCATATTTTTTTTTATAAATGCTGTTTTTATGTTGTGTTTATAGGTCAATAATGGCGCTACTTATGTTAAAATTGACATGCTTATAAACGAAAAGGACCGTAGTAAGATGCTTTTAGCTGACATAGACCGCCATAGAATGCTGCTAGTTCAAGGTATGTTTCTCTGTTTTCAACTTTTTCTCTTCAGGATTTGGATGTAACATCAATAGTGTACAGGACAGCCGATTATTTTAGTTTGTTTAGAATAAAGTTGTCTCAATATCCTTCATTATGAAGGTTTTAATTACTTGAACTTGATTATTTTCTCTAACTCTGAACATGTTCTGCACCTTTTTATATCTCTGGCTTTCACAATGGCTGTTTGCATACCAAGTACTAATGATTGGCACATCGATTGTAGATAATGGCGGTGGAATGGATCCCAACAAAATGAGGCAATGTATGTCTCTTGGGTATTCAGCAAAGAGCAAGCTTGCAAACACTATTGGGCAATGTGAGTGATTCTGTTCAGGCAGTTGAAATAAGTATTGGAGCAAAGTTTACGAATGTCACATTTATTGCAGCATTGTTGCTAACTTTCTGAACTTGTTTTTACACAGATGGAAATGGTTTTAAGACTAGTACCATGAGGCTAGGGGCAGATGTTATCGTCTTTTCAATGTGTCAAGGGAAGGATGGCACATGGTTAGTCGTTTTCCTTAGCTTTTCGGTCTCATAGCTAGACACACATTATATGTCATCTAATTTAATTTGATGAGTTTAATATTGTTTTGAAGTTTCACGGAATGATTTCATGTATTCTGCAGTCCTACAAGAAGTGTAGGGATGTTGTCATACACATTTTTGACTAGTACTGGGAAGGAGGATATCATTGTTCCTATGGTAAGATCGATGATCTTTTAAACGAGTATTAGTATTATTCTTCGAATATTAGTACAAAGAGACAAACCGATCAATGATGATTTACTAAACACTTCAACTGTTGTTCAATTGGTGATCACTTTTAATTTGTTTCTATGTTTCTGTTTAACAAGATTGACTATGAGAAGAAAGGGGAAGTTTGGACCAAGATTGTACGCAGTTCTCTAGAAAATTGGCATGTAAATTTAGAGGCTGTTGTCCAGTGGTCTCCATTCTCCAGCGAGCAAGACCTCCTTCAGCAGGTAACCTCTGCTCGTAAATCTCTTATTTGCAAGTGTTCAAGTTTGACATTCATGTAACCTGTAGAATGTCCTCTGATTGATTAATTAATTTTGGTGTTTGGCTTTTCATTCATTTCTTTTTGATATAGCTCTGAATTTTATTCATACAAATATGCTTTTTGAGTCTAAATTTTTTGCTTTATATGTAGTTTGATTCCATAGGTTATCAAGGTACCAGAATTATAATTTACAATCTCTGGGAGGATGATAGAGGACAGTTGGAGCTGGATTTTGGTACCGATCCTCATGTATGTCTCTATATACTATACACTATGACAGATGCCAATCATTATCAGAAAAATTTCATAGGCCTAAGATATTTCTATTTTATGAACAGGATATCCAAATTCGAGGAGTCAATAGAGATGAGAAAAGGATAGCTATGGCTAGAAAGTATCCCAATTCTAAGCATTTCTTAACTTATCAGCATTCACTAAGGGTATGTGAGGTTTATAGTTTAATTCTCTGTACATAATACTCGTTTTATAGGTCAGACGCGCAACAAGTCACCCCAAGACTAGATGCATAGTCATAGTCACAATAAATACTATAATGACACTGATCTCTTATTAACAATAACTATATGACTGGTAAATCATATTTGAAAAAAAAGAAAAAAAAACTCTGACAGACTGACTGGTGCTTTGTTTTCAGAGTTATGCATCTATCCTTTATCTGAGAATTCCTACTGGATTTCGGATTATACTGCGTGGGCAAGATGTCATGCACCATGAACTGGTGAATGATATGATTCACCCAAAACAAGTTTCATACAAACCTATGCCTATAACTAATGGGACTGTAAAGGATTCAGCTTTACAGTCAGAAAATGTACGATCTCTAGATATTCTACATTTTGCTTCTTATAGCTGATTGATATGAAAAGGTCAACTAATAGTGTCATTATGTATGTAGATGCAAGCTTTGGTGACACTAGGATTTGTGAAAGATGCTCAAGATCATATGGATATACAAGGGTTTAATGTTTACCACAAAAACCGGCTAATTAAGGTTAGTGTTTTCTCAGCCCTTATACATCTTTGCTGTTAAATTTGTTTAGCATATCAATGATAATTTCTTGTTTTAACAGCCCTTTTGGAGAGTCTGGAATGCTGCTGGAAGTGATGGTCGAGGAGTCATAGGTACCCTTTTCTCTTATGAATATAGCAAATTGTGGTGCTTTTCGATTTGGAATTTGATGATTTTTATAAGATAATGATTATGCATAGGTGATTGCATAATTACATAGTTATTTACCCTTTCCAATATATTGTTATCCTGTGTAGGTGTTTTGGAGGCCAATTTTGTCGAACCAGCTCATGATAAGCAGGGTTTTGAGAGGACAACGGCGCTGTCAAGACTTGAATCACGGCTAGTTCATCTGCAGAAGACTTATTGGTTTGTTGATCTCATCACTGTCTTCTCCTAACACCCCCCCCCTCCCACCCCTTTCCCTTTTTTTTTTTTTTTTTTAATCTTAAGTTTAATCGCGCTTGTTTTTCTTTTAGGCGTGACAACTGCCATGAAATTGGTTATGCACCACGAAGATCAATAAACAAAGTTGTTCCAATAGTGTCTTCTCCTCTTCCAATTAGAGGCAATGGCAATGCTATAAAGGGAATGACTCCCAACAGAAGTGATGACAACGCTTTGGAAATAATCAGAAACAGTAGTAAGAGGAATTCTGTTAAGAAAATTGAACACATTTCACCAAATGTTGAATCTTTAAGTGAAGATGATGAGATGACTAATAATCATATCGAGTTACCATCACCAACAATCCAACACAACCTTTCCAGTAGTAACAAGGTATATCAGATCTTTGCATGATTTAACTGCACCTCATCAATGTACAATAAAATTCCACAGATTTTCTATTGCAAATAGTATAAAGTTAATCAGATAAGTTGTACTACATAGGTGGAACAGATCAACAATGACAAGCATACATCTACAGAAATGAAAGCAGAAGTTGAGATGTTACGAAAAGAGAACCTTGAGTTGATACAGAGGTATCAATTCCTAGCGCGATGAGAACAAATTTTTTTGCTCATTCTTTTCTGTTTCAATTCTTGTTTTCAGACTAATTACCCTGTGTTTTTTCATTAATTCTGCTGTAGGCTAGAAAAGGCTACTGAATCAAGGGATGATTCGCTGCGAGAGCTACAATTTGAAAGAGATAGGAGTAGAGCCCTTGAAGCTCAAGTAAGTGTATAGTTAGTTGCACAAGTTGCATTGCTATATTGGCTCATTTACATGTAAAAACCGAAAGCATATCATAAATTGACACCGAGATTTGCATTATGTTATTATGAACCTACAGTTTGAAGAGGCCAATAGAAAAAATGCTGAAATGGACAAAGAGCAGGAAGCTCTAATCACGATATTTGCAGAGGAAAGAGAGCGAAGAGACACCGAAGATGAAAAGATGAGGGAGCGTTTAAGGGTAAGTCACACCTTCTTGACTGAGAGAGATCGAATGCGCTAGCTCTCATTGCCACCACACGACGACATTAGTAACTCTAACGATAATGTTGTATTTTTTTTTTCTCTGTAGGCTGCTTCAAAAACAATTGACGAATTGGTCGAAAAAGTGCACACAATGGAGAAATACAGGCAGCTTCCAAGATGTAAGCCTGAAATTGATTAAGGAGTGTGCCTCAGCTGTAATGTACAGGAATCAGAGTAATTTTAGGTGGGAGGATTATTTTCTTCCCAACTCAAGTTGTATCCATCCAACTGGATGGCTCAAGACATGTAATAGGCATAGAAATACCTCACAACTCTGTTTTTTTAAGATGTATATAGTTAATTGAGACCAGTTTAGATCTAATCAAAGTTACATATAACTTTGAATTCAACATTTCGTAATTGCTTTGTTTATGGATTTACTTGATACAACTAATTCATCCACAATAATGGTAGTCAAAAAGCTTTGTTAATTTGTGTTTTTGGAATTTGAAAAAATCTAATATATATATTTAAAGGGGAGTTTTTCCCCGAGTTTTTAGAGAGTCACGTAGGATTTAATTTTCTTGGCGCGCCAGGTAGGATTATAAATTTAGGTGGTAGCCAATTAAATAAAAGATTATTAATTTCTTTTACAATTAAATAATTCAAATGCCACGTAAGCAAAATTGACGAATGAGATTTTAAAGTTTAAATTAATTAAATACAAAATATTATCTTTTAAGATTAGGAATTTTATTTAATATTTTAAAACTAATATAATAACAATTTTAATCACATAAATATGAAAAATAATTTTTTTTTTTAAAAAAATACTAACAACCGTATGTCGCACGGGCAGTAAAACAAAATTCAGTAATAATAAAATGATAGAACTTGGGCACCAAGGAATGAAAGAAAGGAAAATTGGAAAAAATAAAAAGATAAACTGAATTGAGAAAGCTACTCCGTAACTAAATAGGTTTCCTAATGTAAGAGGGTTAATAACTAATAGATATCCCACATTAGAAAGGGCTACATCTATAAATACACAACATTAGTTACTAATACGGAGTAATTTCATAATATCAGAATTAAGAAATTAACGAAAAAAAAAACGTATTGATGGGTTCATCATCAAGCAAGACAAAGAGAGGGGGGACGTGGTGGATATTGGAGTTGAACATCAAACCGATACCCGAGAAGCTGAACCATGGGAAAGCAACCTACGTTAGAGGCCGTATTGAGGGGAAGTGGATTTGCATTAAACGTCTTGACAAGAATAATGAAAATGGGAAAATCCTCAATAAAAAAAATGGAAGTGGGAGCTACTACATGATCTTTTCTACTGCAAACGAGGAACTACTCGACCCAGAGTTTAAGCTCACCGTAGAAATTTGTTCTACGGCGAGGCATCAACTCAAAGTAGAGACCATCGGAACAGCCGTCTTTCACCTTAAAAAGGACATCGGCACAACCAATAATAATGCTACCTTATACCAATATCTACACTGTCCGGCTGGGCTGTGCCATCCTCAAGTGCGGATCATACTCAGGCTGTTTAAGGATACTTACAGTATAGCCAACTATATGCGAATAACTAGGGCAAAAATTAATAAATATAGATGTTAGGGCCTATTATTATGTATAGTGTATAGTTATCGGACCTATCTCATGAGCCCTAATCTATTTGCTAGGTTGTATATATACGTTTGTTATACTCTAATGAAAACTACGGAAAATTATTTCGTGACATGGTATCGGAGCCAAAATCACTCTAAGTCCTACATCTCTAAATTTTTTCTAATTCCCACTATCAATTCCTACATTCTAAATTCTAATTTCTAAACACAATTTCTGTTTCCTGATTCGACATTCTCTAATTAATTCCCACTACCAATTTCTAATTCCACTATCAATTTTTTAATTACTAATCCCTAAGTTTGTGGGTTCTGCCAATTTGCGATACTCGGGGTTGCATTTCTTTAATACTTGTTCAACAATGGTGGATGAAGGCATGTTTATCTCTAATCGACGTGATAAGTCGACCTTGTACTGTACCCACTGCCATCGTTTTGGTCACGACCATGCCGCTTGCTTCCTTGTCCACGGGTTACCCGATTGGTGGCTTGACAAGTATGGGCATAAAGGGCGAGTTTCCTCTTCGTTTTCTGCTGCTACTGCTTGTTCTTCGACTGCCCAGCAGGCTACGCCATCCTACCAACCAGAGAACTCCGCGACCCAGCCGCGGGACAGCCCTCCCAGCCGCAGCCAGGCCGTGGAGTGGACTGCCCAGCAGGTTGGGAGTCTTGCTCTTCCTCGGTTTGCTACTAAGACTGCCTCTACTACTTTGACAATGCTTTCTACTTCCGCCACTACTCCTATTTTGGGTGGTGTGTTCGATTCTCGTTCCGATTCTATTAATGATGATTATTTATCTTTGTCGTGGATTATTGACATTGGTGCATCTCATCATGTTACTGGCAATGAGACTTTTCTACTAGATGCTCACTCAATTATTTCTTGTCCTGTTGGTCTTCCGGATGGTGCTAAGACCATGGCTACTAAGGAGGGTTGTGTTGTCTTGGCAGATGGCATTACTCTTCAACATGTTTTATTTGTTCCGCAATTGAATTGCAATTTGATTTCGGTCTCTAAATTGATTGATGATTCTAATTGCTTTGTCCGATTCAATAATTCTCTTTGTGCTATACATGATCAATCCTCGGGGAGCTTAATTGGAGGTGGTGAACGGATAGATAGACTATATTAATTTCGGCGTCTCCCAAAAGTATGTGCTCTCACAGGTCCGGACATTTCTACATTTGAGTTGTGGCATCGTCGTTTGGAGCATCCGTCGGAGAAAACTGTCAAATTGCTTCCTTCTATTCGAGGTAGTTCTGCTCCTAAGTGTTTACATAAAGCATGTGAAATTTGTCCTCTAGAAAAACAAACCCGAGCCAATTTTCGTGATAGTGATAGTCGTGCTAGTCGTATTCTTGAAATGATACATTGTGATTTGTGGGGACCGTATAAGACGGCTTCTACTTGTGGTGCTCACTATTTTTTAACTATAGTGGATGATTTCTCAAGAGGTGTTTGGGTTTATTTGCTGAATGATAAAACTGAAGTTTATTCTTCTTTCTGTTCTTTCTTTGCTATGGTTAAAAATCAATTTGATGTTACTGTTAAGTGTGTACGGAGTGATAATGGTACTGAATTTAAACACATGCTTCCCTATTTTGATGAACATGGCATTCTCTTTCAAACCTCTTGTGTCGGTACCCCTCAACAAAATAATTGAGTAGAACGTAAACACCAACATATATTGAATGTTGGTAGAGCATTGATGTTTCAAGGAAATTTGCCAATTGATTTGTGGGGTGAGTGTATTCTTGAGGCGGTTTATGTTATTAATCGCACTCCTTCTCTTTTACTTGATAAGAAAACTCCATATGAAATGCTTTTTGGCAAAGAACCTGATTTTGATGCACTGCGTGTTTTTGGGTGTCTTTGCTTCGCCATAATCAAAAAATAATTTGATTTATTTTCATGTTTTACTATTAAGTTATTATTGTTTACTTTCGATTTTTTTTTATAGAGATAACCTATGTAGGAATCGAACCTACATCCTCTATGCATTTGCATAGTGCTCTACCAATTGAGCTAATAGGTTTTAGGCCTTTTAGCATATGTTCTTCTTTTTTTCATTTACCGTAAATGTTCTTAAGTTTTTTGCTAATACTTTAGTTTTTCAAAAGTTTTTTTTGCTAATACTTTAATTTTTTTTTCTGCCAATGCCTTTTTATATGTTCTAAATTATTTTCCTATCATCTAAACTTTTTTTTATCCATTACTTAAAATTTTTCTGTCTATGCTTTGAATTTTCCATATATTTCTGAAAATTTTCACCATATGTTCTAAACTTTTTCTATCTATAATCTTAGAACTTCTCACCCTATTTTCTAAACTTTTATCCTATATACTAAATTTTTTCACCCTATGTTCAAAACTTTTTCCTATTCTAAACTTTTTTTGATGTACTAAATTTTTTCGCCCTATGCTCTAAACTACCTACATTACCACCCAAAAAACCACTTATTGGCTTTTACTACCTACATGTATTCCAACTCGTTAGTATTTTACCAATGTTATCGACGATGAACTGAAAGGAGGCAGATTTGCGGCACAACAAGTCAATAGGGACTCCAAGGTGAGACGCAAACCGGTCAACATTAGCCATGCCTAGAATTTCCTTGAACGAAGTTTGCAATTAAGGAAAGCGGGGTATTAGGGATGAGTTTAAAGTGAGACTTGGCAAGATTAATTTGTTGGCCCGAAATGTTACAGGTGCTGTGAATAGGGATGGAAATGGATCGGGTTCGATCGGGTTGAGCTCCACCCGCATCCATCCATTTCACCCGGTCCATCCGTCACCCGCATAATACATCACCCGAAATCCATCCATTTCACCCCGTCCATCCGTCACCCGCATAATACATCACCCGAAATCCATCCATCCACCATCCGCGGGTGAAACGGATGTGCTGGGTGGTAAACGGGTGGGTGAATAAAAATTAATTTTATATAAAAAAAACTTTAGAAAATTATTTTGACCCTTTAATATTAAAATAATTATTGTAAAATAATTGTGATATGTCAAATATTAACATAAAAAATAAAATATAATTGTACCATACAACTTCTAATATTCAAATATTATATATGTATAAGATATTTATATTATTTATTTTTAAAAATTAAAAATATTTATAATACTAAACGGATGGATGGATGGGTGACGGATGGGATTAACCACCACCCCGAATCCGACCCGATCCATCACTCGATTCACCCGTCACCCGCCTCTCATCCATATAAACCGAGTTTTTCACCTGTTTAACAAAGCGGATGGACCGGATGGTCGGATCATCCGCTGAATATTTCCATCCTTACATGTGAATAACGGCTGCAATGGCATGGGTACTGTGAACATTGGCCTTGTAGAACAACAAGGCGTCGTTTGCAAAGAAAGGATGAGAAAGAGAAGGGCCTCTAAGCCCTAGATTTATACCATCAAAGTGCCTCATGAGTTTAGTTTGTGTTTTAGATTTTATTTGATTTTTGTATGAGAGTTGATTTTGTGGATCACTGCTGGTTAACTAAAGCCATTCTGTTGGGTTTTAACTACCACTGCATATGCTTAGCATTCAAGATCATATGAGTTATGTTTTTGAATTGGTCTTAAGAGATAATTAACCTCCTTTTAGTGTCCAAATCTTATGAATTTATAGAGTAATTGATATTAAAGAGAGGATATGAATCTTAGGAAATTTTGACATTACCACCCAAAAAACCACTTATTGGCTTTTACTACCTACATGTAAAATAATTGTATTTTACCACCAAAAAAATTTCCAAAAATTGGATTTCACCACCAACTAACGGATTTCGTCCATAAAATAATGAGGTTGATGAATTTGTTTTAATGTGTATTTTTGAATGAATTCTCCCTTCATTTTTAGTGCCCCACAGTAACATGACACACATGCTTGCCAATGCAAAATTTGACTAATAAAATATCTTTAATTATCATTAACTATAAATTATAACTATCATACAATTTTAATAATTTACTCATTGAGACGATTTCATCAAATACCCACAAGAATACATATTAGTTTTTGTTATGTACGGAGTATAACTCACAAACATTGGTCAAAATATGTTTAATGAATAGTGTCAAATTCTCCAAGGGGCACTTAAAAAAAAACGAAGGGAGTACATGTCATAAAACAACCCCAAAAACTTTTAATTTGAGTTCGTAACTCCACTCTTTGAGGCAAATTATACGAAGTACCAGTTGTATATACAATCACTTTTATAATATAAATTGTCATTAAATTAACATCACAAAGGGCATGTTCCGATTTATTGCAATTAGAACAACTAAACAGATGAATTGATTGGGGTTGAATTGAACCGAGTTGAATAGAGTTGAAATAAATTATTTATTTGAGAAAGAAATTAGGAACTAAATTGAATTGAAAAATGAAATTAAGATAAACAGAACATGCCCTAAGTAACATTAATTATTTAACTATTTAGATAATTATATACTCCCTTTGTTTTTTAAATAAGTGTTTTACCAACGCTATTCAATTCACTCGACCTAGATAGTTTGACTATCGTTTGTGGTTTATACACAACATATATGCCCAAGAGAGATAGAACCCTCATTATAAATTGGAGGGAGTACAAAGTATACACAATGCAATACCTACGGATATGGAGTGATTTTCTGTATATTTTAGATCGATTTTGAGAAAAATAAAAATAAAAACAATAAGTTGATAGAGCTTGGCAACCAAGGAATTAAAGAACGGTTAGTTATTGATCGATGGGAATTTTTTTAAAAAAAAAAAAAAAAAGGTTAGTTATTGATCGATGGGAATATCATCAAGCAAGACAGAGAAAGAGGGGACGTGGTGGTCGTTTGAGTCGTACATAGATCCGCCGGAGAGGGAGCTGAGATATGGGAACCTGCCATTATTGGTTGGTGGTTGGATTGAGCGGAGCTGGACTTGGAAGTGCTTTTCAATTCTCGAAAACGATGGAGTTCGGAACAAGAAGTTCATCTTCTTTATTCCCAACAACAAGCTATCCCAACCTGACTTTAAATTCAATGTATCAATCTTTTCTGGGTTCCCGATTTTCAACATAGTCACCTTAGGAACTGTCGTCTTTCAACTTAACAAGGACATCCCACTCAATGCTATCTTCTGCCAAGAAATAGACTGTCCGACACTGCGACTTCAAGGGCGGATCAAGGATTCCGGGAAAGGCACAGCACACATTGTACGAAAGATTAAATAGTATAGTCAAATTCATTACTAGCTTGTAATTTTGTTCTTAGTTTAGTACTACATTTGTTTTACTGTTTTGGGTTAAATCATTATCCAAGAATTCATCATAATTTAATTAATTCATAATTAGGGTTCAATTCAATTCTTGACTTCTAAATCCTTGAAATTGGTTTGTACTGTACGTGTTTTTATAAGATTTTCTTTGATTTTTGTATGAGGGTTGACTTTGTGGATCACTGCTGGTTAATTCGATGTTATGACAATTCAGCGTGGATGGCATTGGGGGGCCAAGGATCGGGTAGCCCCCCTTGGATCCGCCTATGTCCACAATAATAGTTAGTTGCAATTATTTAACTATTTTGATAATCATATAAAAAGTACTGCGTATATGTAATGCGATGTATTTATGAAATTTGCAAAAAATAAAACAAAACTATCAAAAGTTACTCATAATGTCACAAAAGTAAAACAAAACTATCAAAAGTTACTCATAGCGTCACAAAAGTTTCGTGCCGCACAATAAATATCCCAATGTCAATAGGTTTCCTAATATAGGAGGGTTACTACGGAGTCAAAGATTTTACACATCAAAAACTGTTATATAAGGCGGCTAGGCCTACAGCTATAAATAAACAAACATAACAAAAGAGAAGAGTTCGTTATTGTAACACAGCAAACAAAGAAAGCTTATTGATGGGATCATCAAGCAGCAAGAGTGAGAGAGAAGGGACGTGGTGGATGTTAGAGTTGAGCGCAGAACCCCGGGCCGGGAAGCTGAGCCATGGGAAAGCAACCTTGATAGCAGGCTGGATTGAACGGGGTTGGATTTGGAGTTGCATTGAACGTCTTGACAAGAATGCAAATGGGAACTACGTATTAATCTTTTTTATCGGCAACGACGAACTATCTGACCCAGAGTGTAGTAAGTTCACCGTAGAAATCTATTCTATGTCGTGGTTTATACTTAAAGAGCCCATTGGAACCGCTGTCTTTCAACTTAATAAGGACATCCCAATCAACGCTACCTTCTACCAAGAACTACACTATCCAGCGGCCTTGGGGCTGTGCCAACCTCAAGTGCGGATCAAACTCAGGCGGATCAAGGATTCACACAGTATATACAAGGACAAAATTAACTAATATAGATTATTCAAAGTGTATAAGCCGGATTTAAGAAGGTTTAAGGTTTTTGAACCAAATATTGTACAAAACTAGTTAGGAATTTTGCAAGTTTAATAATTAAAATAAAATAAAATAAAATAAAAAACGGAAATTTGTTCTTGGTTTTTAATTCTAATTTAATAACAATTCTTTGTCAAGTGCTTAAATTTAAATCCCAAAAGAACAGTTCAAGTAAAACTCAGGCACTGGTGGTGAATGCCAGGAATCCAAGATTGTGAGTCCCTTGTTTTCCATGCTTCAAATTTTCCTGGTTTTTCTGTTTTGTTTCTCCAATTTTACTACAAAACTAAAACCTTATCTCCTCATGTAGTAATTAATAGCATCTAGTAATCATGTATGATCAAGAAGGAACAAGAACTTTTTCGTTTTTTAAGACGTATATAGTTAATTGAGACTAGTTTAGATATAATTAAAGTTACACATACCTTTGGATTCAACTTTTTGTAATTGCTTTGTTTATGGATTTACATGATACAACTAATTCATCCACAAACATATGTACAGTTAGTCAATAGAATCAGGATCAACTCAGTTGCAGTTCATCAGTAAGAGATTCTGTATTCCATTCCACACCTCCACACGCACTAAGAACAGTTGTGACAGTGTAATCATCCACTTGAAGACCTTCCTCTTGCATCTGGTACATGAGCTGCAGAGCTTCGCGGCAGTACCCATTCATTGCATATCCCACTATCATAGATCTCCAAGAAACCAAGTTTTTTTCTTTCATACTGTTGAAGACTTGTAATGCATCTGAAATACATCCACATTTAGCATACATATTAATCAGGGAGCTCCCCACGAATATATTGTCTGAGATCGTAGGGGATTTATTCAAAGACGAGTGTATTAGTTTTCCATGCTTAACTGCTTCTAGGCTTGCGCAAGCCTTCAGAACAGAGGAGTATGTAAACGGGTTTGGTTTCACTCCTTCACTGAGCATTTCTTTCAAAAATTCGAAAGCCTCAAACTCATATCCTAGTTGAGTACAACCAGAGATCATGGCGGTCCATGAGACAACATCTCGAAGGGGCATATGTTGGAGAACCTGTGAAGCAAGACCATATTCACCACATTTGCAATAAAGCCACACAAGAGTGCTCCCTATGTAAATGTTGTTCTGTGATGAATTCTTCAGTAATTGTGCATGAATTTCCTTCCCAGTTACCAGAGCACCAATAGAACCACAGGCTCGGAGTATACTTACAAATGTCAAATTATTTGCTGCTACTTTTCTTCGTTTCATCACATGGAAAAGTTTCAACGCCTCATACCCAAGCCCATTCCTAGCATACCCAGCAATGATAGAAGTCCATGTAACCATATTTCGCCTTTTCATCCCATCAAACACTTTTCTAGAATCCTCAATTTCTCCACATCTTGCATACATATCCAGGAGTGAAGTGCCAATATAAACATCATTGTTTATAAGTTTCTTAACTGCTATGCCATGCAACTGTCTCCCGAATTTCAGTGCCTTCTCTTCTCCACACGCCTTCAAAACGCTACATATAGTGTGTTCATTGGGTATATATTCGTGCATAAGCATTTCTGAGAAAAGTGAGAAGGCCTTCTCACCATAGCCTTGTTGAGAACAAGACGTGATCATAGTGGTCCAAGTAACCACATCCCGCTCTTTCATCCCTTCAAAGACACGAAAAGCACTCGAAAAGTCACCACATTGTGCATAGAAGTACATAACAGCACTATCTACTATTAAATTGCTCCATCTACCTTTTATAATACAAGCATGAACCTGTTTCCCTAACTTATAATTCAACCTCTTTCCACACAAAATCAACACACACACAAAAGTTGTCCCATTCGCTTGAATCCCCGACTTCACAAATTCACCAAAAAGACTAAGACCCTCATCCTCTAAACCAAAATTCAAATACCCATTAAGAATTGTGGTCCAAGAAATAACATTTCTTCTCTCAGGCATTTCATCGAACACCTTGCGAGCCTCTTCTAACTTTCCAAAACTCAAGTATACACTAATCAAATTGTTATTAACAAACACAACAGAATCATTCAAACACTTCAAAATCAAAGCATGTATCAATTTTACATCTTTTAATCTAGAGCATGATTGAAGCAAAGAAGCTACCCAGAATGGATCAAGTCTAACCCCTTGACCCCGCGATACCGAAATTCCAACAATTGGGTTCTCTTGTGAGATTTGGGCATCGCTAACTTCTAATAAATCAGCTGAATTTTGCGATGATTTGTAATTTAAACGAAAATTTGGGTGATTTCTTTGAAGAATCAAGTTATGCGTTTTGCAGAAGTTGGCATGTTTTGAAGATTTTGATTGCAGAGAGAAACCAATAGATGAAAGGAGAAGATTTTGGGGAAGAGAATTATGGAATGGTAGAATGAATGTTGAAGAAAGAGAAAGCATTGAACTGAATTTGCAGGACGTTGGTGTTCCCGCTAATATTAGTTTGTTTTCTGTTGGTCTGAGTGTAGAGTGTAGTAGTTATTCTGTTATCCTTCGTGAGTACTGACTACTATGAGTAGTATAATTGGAAATTTGCATATATGAGTTGTGAAACGATGAGTTCAGTTTATGGTTAATGAAGTAGCATGGTTGGTTGGGTTGGTAAATGCAACCCCTTATGAGTGCTAAAATGCAGAGTATTAGTGTTCATTAAAGGTCACGTGTCATGGTCAACGTTGGAGCAAAAAATAAACGGTGACATTCTGGCTTATAGTAGCCTCTTACAACATTTTGCATATTAAGAGGTAATTTCTTGCAATATTCAATAATACGTAGTTTATCATAAAAATCGGTTTTAATACTTGATAGTTTTTTATAAAAAAAATCCTTGACTTTATAATGATATTTTTTTGCTAATATTAGTTCAAATCTCAATCGTTTAACTAGTTAACGAAAAAGTTATGACAAATACAGTTTCCAAACAACGTTACATCAATGGGTAAACTTTATTCTACTATGCTATGGCCTATGGGCAAGAAGCTAAGGAGTAAGAATTATCCCCTCTCATCTCTTTATAAGTTCATAAGCCCAAAAATACAAAGATCCAACTATTTTAATTCAAAGTTTCTAACCTAACAAAGAACAAGATAAAAAGAAAAACGATGAACAATGATTTTGCAAGAGTGACCCCACAACAAGAACAAATCTAATTTCCGCGCCAATCAAATTAACATCACCACATCTCTATTTTATCCTCCATTTTAATTTTATTTTATTTTTGATCCCCTCTGAAAAACAAGAGGTCATCTTTCATCCAAAACCTTCACTCAAAACCTCCATCCATTCTCTGCTTATCTCACTCTCTCCACTTTCTCTCTCTTACTTTCTCTCTCCTCGCCTCACTTTCTCTCTCTAGCCTGCAACAATGGCGGCATCTCTGCAAACTCCAGTATCCTTGCAATCCAGAACTAAAACTGTTGCAGCATTATCAAATTCATCATCGGCTACCAAAGCTCCGACGCCATTTTCTCTCTCCTTCTCCTCTTCTACCGCCACCTTCAACCCTCTCAGGCTCCAGATTTTAACCGCCTCGAAGCTCACCGCCAAGCCTCGCGGCGGCGGAGCTCTCGGTGCTCGCATGGCTGACACCACCGCCAGCAGGTACGCCTCCGCTCTCGCCGATGTCGCTGACTCCACCGGTACTCTTGATGAGACCAGCGCTGATGTTGAAAAACTCTCCAGGATTTTCGCCGAAGAACAGGTTTAAATTTTCATCGATTTTACGAAATTATAAACAATTTTTAGGATTATTTCAATTTTTTACGAATTTGTTGATTTATATCTGTGAATTTGTGACGTACACTCAATTTTAGTTTGAATTATTGTAGAAGTTTCACGTAATTTTGATTTTATCTGTCAAAATTTCTACGCCCTAAAATATACACAAATTGCTGCCGATTAATTATGTTCGAATAATGTGCTATTTTATCTGTTTATATATTTGTCAGGTTATTTATTGCATCAATTTTAGTATAAGTTCCTGTAATTTGATATGTTTGAACAATGTGATGACATATTGGAGCAAAACTTAGGTTTCTGTAAGAGTTATATACTTCGTAACATTGTTGGAGTGATCGCCTGATTCAGTTGAATTCATGTTGTATAGGTGTATTACTTCTTTGCAAGCCCAGTGATTAGCATTGAGAGAAAGCGTAGTGTCTTGGATGAGATTGTTAGCACCGCAGGACTTCAGCCTCATACCGCCAACTTTCTTAACATCTTGATTGATTCGGAGCGAATTGATCAGGTTATTAACATATTGAATGCATTTGAGGATGTGTATAATAAGATTACCAACACTGAAGTAGCAGTGGTGACTTCGGTGGTGAAGTTGGAGAGTGATCACTTGGCTCAGATTGCTAAGAGTGTTCAACGGATGACAGGAGCGAAGAATGTGAGGATTAAGACAGTGATTGATCCTTCACTGGTTGCTGGATTCACTGTCAGGTATGGTAATGAAGGTTCCAAGTTGGTTGATATGAGTGTGAAGAAACAGCTTGAGGAGATTGCTTCTCAACTTGATTTGGAAGATGTTACACTTGTATAAATGTAGTAATCATATGGTCATCTAGTAAATTTTGCTAGATCAATGTTCTGAATTTAAATTTGGAATTCTGTATTTTTGAAACTATATGAACTCAATTTGTATAATTATGTTAATGACAAACAGATTGTACCTTTGTCCATGATTTTTGCATGATATAAGTGATTCCATATTATATAACATCGTGTCATTTTCCACGAAAAGGTGTTTATCTATGGTTCATTGCAAATGTTTTCTTTGTGGCAGACTATTGGAAATACTATAAGATTTTGGACCATTACTGGGAACTAATTTTCTGAATGCCTATATTTATTTAAACTGCAAACACATCTCAGCTCTGTGCAGGGAAAGGTGAGCATATGTGGCTTTGAGCATCAATCTTTGTAAAACAAGTAATCTTACTTCTGTCTGTATTAGTTAGAAGCTATGATTACTTCTGAGTTCCCGTGCTGTGCTTCATGCTTCGGCTATTGGACAATGAATATTGAATGCATTTGCGCCATTTCTGAGATACAAATTGGTCGTTTGCCTGTCAGATGTAGCTGCATGACTTCCCTACCTGTTTATTGAATGGCATGTTTTTGTTTCTGCAAATACTTTAGTTTCAAGCATGCAAACCTGTCTACTTATTGAAGAGTTGTCACGGAGTTTATAGTCTTTTAAATACCTCTATTTCCTTTGTAATAACTTTTGAACACAAGCTAGCAAAATACTAACATGTTGAGCAAAAATTCGTTGCGTGGACAAGTGTCTAGTATGCTAGCATAGTTACCTTGATTAACAAAGTTCCAGTTTTTGGAGCGGGATACAGGAACACTGTACAGCAAATTGCTAATTGCTACAAGCCTACAATGCATGTTTATGGGGCATCAGGTCTGCAAAGCTGGGTTTCTGAGAATGCTTCTGAAATTACAAGTTTTTCATTGCTCGACTGCTTGTTCACTTTTGAAACTGTTCTGTTCAAGAAATCTTCTATTATTCTACAATGTGTTCTTTGATGGTCATAACTTTGTTTGATCTTCATTTTATGCTTCTTTGCATTCTTCATGGCTGCTATTCTGATTCAATCTCTTATAATCTGGTGGCTGTAAAATGCTGTGTAATTAGGATCCGATGCCTGTTTGTCTTCTATATTCGCACAATATGCTGTTATGTTTGTTTGCTGGAAATAAGTCTTTACTAAATATTTAAAATCTCTATGTTTGATTTCAATGCTAGGTATCAAAATGTGATGTGTACATTCATCGCAGAGTACTATGCATGTTTGTGAAGCATAAGCTGTGTAATTAATAGGCTGGAATTCTGAGAGTATCCAAAATAACAATGTTTCCATGGTTAGTTTACTTTTGAAACTGTTCTGTTCACGAAATCTTCTAAAGTTCTACAATGTGTTCATTGTTGGCCCAGCTTTGTTTGATATCCAATTTCTGCTTCTTTTCTTTCTTCACAGCTGCTATTATGATTCAATTGCCAGTAATCTGCAATTCTGGTGCTAGTAAAATTCTGTGTAATTGGGATTTGATGCCTGTATGTATTCTACTCTTTAATTTTCACAATAAGCTGGTTTGTTTGTTTGCTGGAAATAAGACTTTACTTATTTGTCTTTAGAATCTCTATGTTTGAATTTAATGTTAGGTATTGAAATGTGCAGTTTTCATTTTTTTTTTTACAGCAGAGATCATATTTTATGCTGATAATTTGGTATGATGTCAGTTGTAGTTCAGTGCCATAATATATTGCTTTTCTTTTCCTTGGTATCACTTTGCTAAAAGGTTGTGAATCAATGAATGTATGAGGCTATGAGCTATATTGACTGTAGTAATTTGACACAAATACATTACAATATTTATATGTAATTCCTGCTGTACATCATAGACTCATATTTTGAGTCACAATCTGTGTAACAAGGAACAATATAAAGCAATAATTTTTTGATAGCTGGAAAACAAAAATCCTACTTCATGGATTCTGTTTTCTAAGGTTGTGATGGAGTGAGTGGAGGAATTATCGGTGTCCAAGTTCTTGGATCGCGTATATCAAATACAGGTGGTGGTGGAGATGTAAGTGGGATGTGAGGTATCCATGTTCTTGGGTCTCCTAGACTAAAGGATGGTGGAGGTGGCGGTTGAAAGAGGGAAGGAACTGGAGGGAATGGAAAGGGTAAAGATGGAGCTGGACTTGAAAATGGAAAGGGTAAAGATGGCGGACTTGAGAATGGAAAGGGTAAAGATGGCGGACTTGAAAATGGGAATGGAAAAGGTAAAGAGGGAGGCGAAAATGGGAAAGGGAAAGATTGCAAGTTTGCAGCTTGTGATTTAGAAGTTCTTTGATTTGGTAAAGGGAAATCATGTGGAAGCAAGGACTTGGATGAACTATCAGAATTTGATGATTCTTTTACTTTTTCTGGTTTCCTGCACAATTTATCATTCTTTTTTCTCGGTTTGTAACTCAGAGAAGTGAAGCTGTAAACACAAAGATTCTCTTTTCTGGATTTGACTGATACTTCAGTTGTTGTAGTTTTCAGGGCTGGAACATTGCAGGCTGAAGATGGGCTTCCCAGCAAACTCGCCTGACAGAATGACTGGATCGGAGGACCATCTACACAATCTATTCCATCAACAGAAGGTATTTCCAACTTGTATACTCCATGTATGTCTGTTGTTCTGTTAACTGAGAAGTTTATCATCTCCGCGGTTTTTGGCGATTTTGCATTGAATTTGCATTGTATGTGTACATCGGCACCTATCATATCAACAAGAACCTATTATAATTTGGTTTTATGCAATAGAATGTCAGTGAACTGGCTGCCCTGTGTTTGGTTGGAAGGAAAATTCTTTTTCCGGGAAAACTAAAACTAAGTTTCCTAATCCTTATCTCAAAGGAGTGTCTACATTTTCCTAACCCTTATCTCAAAGGAATGTCTACATATTCCTTCTCAATCTTCTTTCATATACACTCTTAAATTTTTGCAACCAATACGAAATGAAATTTGAAGGCTAATTTCCTGTAAAATGTACATTCCACTGAAACTAAAAATTCCTTTTTAAAAATATTCCTCCAAACCAAACACAGCTTTATTCAAGATTTTTTTTTTTTTTCTTTAGTATGTTAGCTATAAGTAATTACCTGGGATGAAGTAGCTGTGTTTTGAAAAACCATCGTTGAGGCAAGTATCGCAGTAAACAGCACCTACCACAGTGATGCGAGAGCTGATGGGCGCCGTCGTGGATTGAGCCATAAGAACGAGAATGTGACCGAAGAAAATCACAAAGAATAGAGAGCTAGACATTATATCCATGGGATGAGACATGGGGGAAGTGATAGTAATGTAGGATAGAAGGTTCTAATGAGAGAACATCCCAGCAGTTAGAAATACAGAAACATTAAGTAGTCCATGATTTGAAGAATCAGAGGCATAACTTTTTATAACTTGTAGATAATCCTTTATATTTTCTGCAGTAATATGCCCGTGAGTTTATGTTGGTGGGGTCGATTGTTATCACAATAGATGATGCTCTTTTTTTATGTTCAATTTTTAATTTTTTATTCACTACAAACAAAGTCATGTGAAGAGGCAATTTGGAAGATTATATGGCTTGAAATTCATCATTTCTTTGATAATTTTGTTAAAGGGAATCACGGGTGTTTGTAAGGGAGTTGTAACCTTTGTTTGGTAGTTAGATTGATTGTTTTGGATTTGTCTTTTTGTTTTCTATATAAATACCACTAAGTATATCATGCGTGGTTATTGAATTTGAGCCATTGAATATGCTCATCTATCTACTGCTGTTAAGTGTTAAGCGTAGTTCATTAACGCACTTGTTTGCTTGGCAAAATTAGTTGTGGGAATAATGTGCAATGTCATTGTGCTGGTCTGCTTACCGCGTAATTCCTACAAGTTAGCGGTTTATAATTTTTTTGGTAAGGAAGAAATATGCAAGTAATTGCTACGAAACTGTCTACTGCTGTGCGGAGGTCCTGCATTAAATGGAACTTGTCGTCAGCAAGGTTGACAAATTTAGCCAGCATAGCAGCACATGGGTATTTGCCTTAAGAAGAATTGCTGGCTGGTTAATCATTAGGAAGAAATGCTAGTGAATTGCTGAGATTTGTGAATAGTATGTGCATATTACATGAAATGCATGCGACACATGTCTAGTGGAACTGTGTTATTGGTTTGTGTATGTTGGCTAGCTTACCGACGTAAATTTGATGATGTAAATACCTTTTGGCGATGCTGTTGGTAGGGACAAGGTCACGAACTCACGACGTCTCACGTTGTGTTTCTAATCGACAAGTGCACTTGTTGAAACTTAGCCTGCATTGGTGAACTATGGTATTTGCACAAGATTGAATCTGTTGGAAGAGGCTAGACATGCAGCATGGCAGCTAAGTATGTAATGATGTATATGTTTTTCCCCTTCTTTGTCATTCTCTAGTATCTAATCTATCAAGAGAATTTCAGCACAATTGATACTTAGCTCATCATGTTCCCGTTTTTTTTTGCTTTGTTCTCATCTTAGAAAATTTCATGAAATATTCAAACTTGTAAATTACAATTCTCATAACTTAGGTTATGTGAAAAGCATGGAACCAAGGAGGGGAGGTGGGTTGAGTAATAAGCTTTTTGTTCTCTTCCATTAAAGATTTACTCACTTGTTCATAGTTCATTCCATTAGTCACTTTTTGTTTTTTACACTTTGACTTTTTACAGTCAACTTTCTAAATTTTTAACTATAAAAATTTACTATTACAAAAATTAAAACTATATCAAGTGAGAATGTAGGATGTTGTTAGATTCAACTTTAAATGCATTTTATAAATATTAATTCATTTTTATAGAGTTTTTATTCATGTATACTGTATATATATGCGGTAAAAAAAATTAGCATTAGAGATTATGACTAGTGATTGTTAATTTGTGAGCATTTATTATGTAATTACTACCTCCGTCCTCGAAGAATGACCTATTTGGCTTAATTTTAATCCCAAAAAGAATGACCCATTTGCATTCAAACACCCACCAATTTGCGACAATATTTGTGCAAAATTAACTTCCCCATATAAAAATTTGATTTTTCATGTAATTTTATTACCTTTTCTCTCTATTTTTTTACAAATTCCATGTAAATTTATCTTTTCAATATACTTTTACTTCTTTTTATTTAACTTTCTTAATACCCACGTAATTAACCCAAATGGGTCGTTCTTTCGGAGACGGAAGGAGTATCAGTATTTGAAAATAAAAATTTATTTTTAATTTGCAACCTCATGCAACAAAATTGTTGTAAATCAATTAAAAACTTCATATATTCTCTTAATATTGTGACAATTGGACTTTTACTCTATTCACCCACTCTTTTTTTTGACTAGATTATGATTTATATGTAAATATTGGGTGATTTTGTTAACTTTATCTAAATTTATAATGCTACCTCCGTTACATATTATTTACAACGATTTGACATAAAGTAGACAAGGAAAATGTCTAATAGTTTATGTTATGGGTTGAGAAGTGTAAAACTCAACATGTTCTAATATTAGGGGATTGAGGAAGTATAATTTTATTTGCTAAACAATCCATATATACCTCTCTTGTACAAGAATAATATTGTTCTTTCCTCAAGTATGTAAAACCCTTGTGTAAAAAAAAAAAATGTTAAACCCAAAAATTCAATTACATCTTTTTCTAAACCTGTATCTAAAGCTTAAGAGTCATTTGTTCTTTTTTGTTACTCGTTTTAATTCATGTGTTCTAGTAAATAAATAGAACTGACTAGATAAATCATCATCATCATCATATCCAAAATCATTTGTTACTCGTTTTTATTCATGTGCTGGTAAATGAATAGGATTGACTCTTACAGGATGTACTCTCATTACATTTGTTCTAAGAAGTAACTAGTCAAACAACACACCTAAGCTAATTGTGTGTAGTGTGTACTCTTTTAGCATAGCGTTTTGGTACCTTAGATTAAAAACTAGTGAGCGTTCCGCGCGATGCTTTAGGTTATTACAGTGCTCATAATCTTTTATCAAATGAAAATAAAAATAATTTGTAATGAATTAATTACAATTTTGCAAGGATTTAACAGGTGAGAAAAGAAACCTTCAATAGCTTCTTGTATTGAATGGTGCAGCAAATGTTACAGTTTTGAATCCTACTATAACCTAGCCTAGAACTATATACCCCTTGTTAATTTGTCCCTTTGAGTCTGTGACAAATGATGAGAGAGTTGGGCCATGACCCATGGGCTAAGTTAAGGCTTGACATGACCCATGGGCCTTGTAGGTCTAGGATAATACAAACCCATTGTTCATGATGCCTTTTTCTTTATTTTTTTCTTTACTTTATTATACAATATAAGGGAAAAAGAACTTGTGAAAGTTGCACAATAGTAAAAGAGCTTGGAACCAAAAAATAAAAAAATAAAAATGATGAAAATTGAAAAGTGCGTATTCATTTTGACAATGTAAATTGCAATAAATCTTTCATTTCACCTTTTACCACAAATTACAAAAACCATCTTGAGTTCAATTACAATTATAATCATAATTATATTAACACACACAAGACACACACAACCGTGGCATGCTTTCAAAATTGTGTGCAACGCAATTTCCCACCACTAGCTAGTCAAGTAATTAGATTCAAGTCATATTACTACAATTATTCATACTGAAATTCATGAATAAGTCGGAATGATAACGAGTTTAATTAGTCTATCTTAAATTACGAGTTCTCAACTAATATAACGAACTTACTCGTGAACTATTCGAGTTTGGCTAATAAACTAATTATTTGATCGATCGAATATAGTTCATAGCCAAAGAGCACCGGCTTCCTTAAGGAGAGGAACAAGGGAGCCATTAATATGAGAAGCCATAACTCTATCCATAGCACCAACAAGTTTACCACCAATAAAAACAACAGGAACAGGTGGTGAATAATTAGTACCAAGCAATCTAATCAAAGCCTTCTCCATTTCTCTTCCTCTTGGATCTTCGTCGAGTTCATACACCGTCGGATTAACTCCCATACCACAAAACAGCCGCTTCACCGCATGACACATACAACAAGTGCTCACACTGAATATTACCACCGCACTCTCGGATGCTAGCCTCGCCACTTTCTCGAGCGGGTCGGCTGCTTCTCGAATGTTCATCATGTTCATGTTCATGGATGGTACTCCTATGTAGTATGAGTATCCCCATGATGATGACGACGATGATGAGGATGGTTCTTGTAAATGGTATTGCATTTTGTTTTTTAGGGTTTAAGTAGTAGTGAAAAGTAGAGGTGTTTGGAATGAAATGATTTATTGGAAATTTAAGTGAATAATGTTTGAAGTATATAAGAACTTTAGGATAATGTTTCAAAGGAGAGAAAGAGAGAATGTATATTGAGAGAAGAAGTGTGTTATGAGGTTGTGTTTTTGGAATGAGAGCATGCATGCCCTTTATATAGGCGTGGGAACATATACAAGGTTGATGACGTATGTAATTGATTGTAATAGTGGAGTATAATTGTGTATTTTTTTGTCCATACTTCATATGATGATCATATTATCATTTATATTTTGTATAACGTAAAGTAATGATTAGTAAATTTTAAAACAATCTAATTTTGTAGATCAAATAGACAATTCTTACAAAGCACAAGAAATGATTGTCCACTTGTTTGATTTTCTATAATAAAACTTTCAAATGATGTATAGACGGGGTGTGATTTGAGGTTTTAAGCAAGATTTCAACTAGTTATGTTAGTTCATTATCTATATAAATAAAGCAATGATGAAAGTACCAAGAAAAAAAAAATGGTTGTTTAACATGTTATTATGTGCATATTCACATTCATGGATGCAATTTGTTCAACCAAATATCATTGACTCATTGTGTAGCTCAAGTTATGTCTCAATTTAGCCCACTCGACTAGGGTGTGAGTAACTTAGGGCCTCTTCTCATACGTTTATTTTCAGTTCAGTTCAGTTCAACTCCTAATTTCCTTCTCTTATAAAATATTCATTTCACTTCAGTTCAGTTCAGCTCGATCAGCCGAGTTCAGACTATGAGAACAAGCCCTTATATTAGGGGATTGTCCAAGTGTGGTGGAGGATGGCGTTGTCTTTTATTTTTGCTTAAGTATGAATAATAATTAGTCGTCTTTATAACTTCAAACAAAATTAAGGCAATAATGCAGGAGTAATATAATGTTAATTATGGGGTATTTAAATTCTTTTTGAAGCCAAGGAGAGGATAACAACGAAGGGCATGTTAGTAATTAAAGAGGTTGTCTGTTAGTTGTCGTAACGCATGCCAAAAAGAAATACAGTGTCTTAAATTGGTTGTGACTTATGATAGGTATCTTTGTAGGTTTTAGGGGAGAGAAAACATGTGTAACAGTGTAAGTAAAAGAGTGATTTAACCAAATTAACGTAACATAATTAAACAAATATAGTTAAAACTTTAAAAGACAATAATAGCTTTAAACATAAAGTAGGTTATGTCAGTTTTTATCATATGTAGAAGGCGGCTAATGCTTTTAGCCTTTGTCTTCTATACCCAATTAGAATCCTTATGACTTTCAAGCTTTAGTCACATCTACGGATTATATATGTTTCAAACTTCTAAAAGATTAATATACTACCAAGTACTCGTACATATAAGTTGATTATACAATTCAAATATAATACTTACTCAAATTATAATATTAATATTTATGTCATTATATTATATGTGTTGCTACATTACTCTTGCGAGTCATGGAGTATTTGTTTGAATTTGTATTGATAAGTTTTCTACCTTTACAAAAACATGCATAAATAAGATGTGGTGGACTAGTGGTGTTTAGTTGGACTAGTTGGATGGTAAATAACTAAAGGTGTCATTACTTCACCCCTATTCGTACTCACAAAATATTGGGCACACTGTACACATGAACCATAGCTTAAGAATGAAGCAAAATTTTCATAAGCATGTGTGAAAAACTCCTTATATATATAACTAAGGGCCTGTTTTAATAGACTGAAATCAGATGAACTGAACTGAGCTGAACTGAACTGAACTAAAATGAATATTTTATAAGAAAAAGAAATTATGAGCTGAACTGAAAATAAACATATGCGAACATGCCCTAAGTACTCAATATATACAAGTACCAATACAAAATACGAAGTAGTATGTAGTTGCTTTTGTTAAAACACGACCATGATATATTTTATTAATTAACTTTCACTCACTCGTACGAGTACTTCGTTTAAATTTCTTAGCTCAAATAAAACCAATTTACCTATAAATTTGGAAAGAGTCTATTAGTCAAATGCTTATGCATACTGATAAACTAAGAGTTTGTTCTCTTTAGCCTAATTTCAATTCAGTTTAGTTCATTTTAGTTCAGCTCCAATCAGTTTAAAAGTTCAATTCCTAATTTTCATCTCTTAAACAATTCATTTCAGTTAAGTTTAATTTAGTTCAATTATAATCAGTTCAGTTCAATCTAATTCATTAAATCAAAACAGACCATAAAGTAATAATCAATTAGGCTTAATTTTGTTATTACTACATACAAGTACAAGTTAACTACATAGTTATGTAGTACGGAGTAGATAGTACCAACTAGGGCACTACTAGGCTACCTTTAACAGGAGCATGGTTTGGCAAGGGTATGTAAGCTAAGGCATGGAAGAAGGGTTTGTGAGAAACGACTTTAACCGTGTATTCGTTAATGTAAGATCATCTCAACTTTTTTAAAAACGTAAACGGCTGTTTATGTCCTTGTTGTCGCATTTACTGAGGCAAACATCAGCTTTCTTATTTATCCGAATTATTTGTGTGGTGATTTTAATGAAATATTTGGTGGTCAATGGTTTCTTTTTGGCATATATGTCGGATATACAGTTTCTAACATCTTGCTCTTTTTTTTCTTTCTATTTTTGCAGTACCAAGTTGACTACTTTATTTTAAGTCTTATGGAGAGATTCTTTTATGCTCATTATGACATGATTATTAACACTTACTACAAAGTATAATTTTCAAAGTTTGTAATTGTAAGTTTGTAACAACATTTCCTTCTTCCAAATTATCAAAAATTAATAATTACTTGTAATATGCATCCCTTGCAAATGTTTTTGTTTGAAAAAAAAAAAAAAAACCTTCATAATCGTCTAGTATGCTCTTTGCTACTTCGTATCTTCCAGGCCAGGTAACCACTTATCTACTTGTCTGTATGGTTTATAATTTTTCTTAATTTTTAAAAATAAAAACAGAGAAAGTATATGTTTACTAACGAATACGTAAATTCAATAAGTTGCCCCTGCCAATGAAATCCATCGGCGGTAAAGTAACCCAGTTGAAGAGGTATAAGAGATTTGATTTGAACTTCACAATTCCTCGATCTTTTTATGCCACTCCTAGGGCGGATTCGGAAAAATGGAAATTATATATTGATTTACTTGACACCTCAACATTATCTATAAAGTAATAGGTTTTCTTTTGGTCCAAGAACTCAATATAAGCAATAAATTTTGGAATTGATAACTTAGGATTAAAGGGTTAGTTTTAATGTTATGACAACAAATACTTGCATAGTCATACATATACATGGACCATGAAATCTACAAGTACTAAAGTCAAAGAACTTAGGGTCTGTTCTCTTCCGTTGAAATTCAGTTCAGTTCAGTTCAGTTTAGTTTAGTTCAACTCTTAATTTATGTCTAATGATATTGCTAATGATATAAAGCCAAATTTCATTCTTTTAAGCTCTTATTACAACAACAAAAACAACAACAACAATAATAATATTAATAATAACAATAATAAAAATAATAATAATAATAATCAATAAGTAATAAATAATAATAATAATAATCATCAATAAATAATAATAATAATAATAATAACAATAATACCAATAATAATAATAATAATCATCAATAAATAATAATAATAATAATAATAATAATAATAATAATAACAATAATAAAAATAACAATAATAATCAATAAGTAATAAATAATAATAATAATAATAATAATAATCATCAATAAATAATAATAATAATAATAATAATAATAACAATAATAACAATAATAATAATAATCAATAAATAATAAATAATAATAATAATAATAATAATTTGGGGTTAGATACTAGTTAGATATATGTATTAATTAAAACATTAAAGAGAGTGGGTTAGGGTGTTGGACTGTTGGGTCGTCGCCTCTGTTAGCTTTTCGTGTTTTTTTCTTTTCTTTTTTTTTAATATTTTTTTTAATTTGTTTAAATGGGTTAGATACATGTAAGTGTTTTGTGTTCTTTTTTCATAATACTATTTTATTTTTAAATTAAATAGTATATGTGTTTAAAATGTTTAGAGGTTTCAAGTTTTTAATATATTTTCCATAAATTTTATAATTATATAGTATATTTATCGTAAATATTTTAATATGTACATTTGTATATACACATATGTATAGAAATAAATAATCAAAGATCACTAATCCGTAGTTAAAAATCACTAATTAATAAGTTCAGTTCAATACTTCAGTTCAGTTCAGCTCAGTTCAGTTCAGCTCAACTTCTAATTTCCCTTTCTTATAAAATATTCAGTTCAATTCAGTTCACTGAGTTCAGCTGGGTTCAGTAAATGAGACACGGGCCCTTACAAAATCATCACAAAATAATTGAGCTATTAGTATAATTGAGCTATTAGTATCACATTTGAGTACTTTGCAATCATCCATCGTTATAAATTAATCATCACATTAAAATAGTAATTCTAATACGGAGTATATACAAATTGCTATGTCGGATTGCCGGCCAAAAATCCACAAAAACAATAATAGAGGAAGCATACTCATCGATTCAAGTGTTTTAGAAGCTACTAATAACTAATAAGATAAGGCATAAGGGGTTAACCTATGAAACCAAAAGAAATTAGGGGGGTGTTGTATTTGTATACCTAAAGTGATGACAATTGAAAAAAAAAAAAAACCAAAGGATAAAAAAGTGAAAACAAAGTCTGAAATGTGGCGTGCAAAAAATGGCAGTCAATTTTACCGGGTTATGGGCCTCTCGGGTACTGAGGCCCATTGGATGATCCCAAATCCCAATACTATGATACATTTATGACAGCAGTAGGATCTGTATTAACAATAACAGACCAATCAACTTTTTTTGTGCTTTTTTTTAATTATTTTATTCAATTCTTTTTGGAGTTGCTTTGCTCAGCAAATCCAGGGCGCATGCACAGCCTTTTCACTGTTCATTGTTCAATCTATATTATGGACGTCATGCACTGCTGCTCACTAATCCCACTTTTTATTTCTAACACCAGTATTATGCATATTATACTGTGTATTTATCTTTGTAATCTTTTCCTAAATACAATGTTTGTACGGAGTAACAAGTACTTTTTCATTTTACATTAGTTTGAATTTTTAATACGGAGTATAGGTATACAAATATTTTATTCATCTTACATTTGAACATTTGCAAGAAGTTTGAAATGTGGCATATTTAAGGTTGTTATGATCATCAATTCATGTCTTTTTGTTTTTGAAAAAAATAAAATAAAATCAATCCATAAGGAAAGTTGTAATTGAAAATTCTTGGTGCTCGCGTGTCTACACGCACAGTATTGTACTATTGTGTCGTATTTTTTTTCGTGTCCGCGTGTTGTACCGTGCTTTTTTCATGTCAGGTCGGCCCAATGTAGTGTCATCTTTAGTCTTGATTGATATCTGTTCAAGTTTTTAATTAAAATAGACCTTTAATATGATATTAGAACCAGCGTGATACAAAGGTCACATATTCGAAATTCTTCCACCCCTCCATATTCTATTTATCATTGATCAGGAATTCCTGGTAAGCAGTTGAGCACAACTGCCAATCACAAGGATTAGCAATTGGGTACGTATTTGTGCTGACTTTATGACCAAGTATGGTACCACACTTATGGGCTTAGAACTTTTTCTTTCGTATTCTTTTTGACAAAATTGGCTAAAAGCCTACAACCTGCATACTAGAGCAAATTGCCATAAAACATAAGCCCAATACAAAATTGCCATAAACCACTACTCTTATTTCCAAAAAAAAAAAAAAAAAAAAAAAAAAAAAAAAAAAAAAAAACAACTACTCTTTGAACTAAATTGTATCTCTAAAATCAAAATGTATTTTATATGATTAGGTATGGGTTCGATTTCTATTAGTTGTGGTTCTTGTGGGTGAAACTGTGGAATACTGGAAATTCCCTTTCCCCCTCACAAATTCCTCGAAGAATGGGTCATTCTCCTTGCCCGCCAAAAAATAAAAAAAAAATAAAAAGTATTTAACATAGTTTTTAATATTTCGTTGAGTGTAGTCACTAGTCAACAACAAAAGAGTAAAGTAAATGAAATAAATTAGAGATTAAGAGAATATAAATAAACTAACATAATTAAAAAGATTAGTAATCTAAAATTCACAGTATTCCATGTTTAGCACTAAATTAAGCAAGCTTTGTACAACACCTACTTATTCACTATGCCAATGACATAGCATCTTTCATATCAAATTGCAGTTTATTGCATAATTACAGAGTTTTAGACTAGATTATCTCACACTAATATAATCAGTTAATCAAAGACATGAAAAGTTACTTTAAAATACTATATTGTGAGTTGTGATTTTCTGATTTCAAACCAAATTATTACCAAGATTGCAATTATAATGCTATAAGATAGACATTGTTAAAGTTGCATACTTCGTATATAATATGAAACAAGAAATCTCTCTATACATATAGTAGGATACTCAAAAAGCTTTATTTGAAGCCTGTCTTGAGCAAAATTGCATTTCATAGTACACCAAAATGAATGTTTACAAACTTAGTAATGACAAAAAAACTTAGTTTGAAAAACAATAATACAAGAAAACAAACCATTTCTCTCCTTAATCTCCCTCCTTATCACAAGATGAGGGGGCTAGTTTTTCCTTCTAGCCATGGACAAGTTTTGGTTCCCATCAAACAACTCTTCGATAGTACTCTCGATATCTTCCGGTTGATACTTGATATACTTCTCGCGCTGCCTTCCATGGGTAAAATGTTGTCCGAACCTTGCTAAGAACGACCTATAAGCTGGAATCATTACAGCCGAGATGGACACTCGAAGCTCCGATTGAAGTTGTTCATCACTCACCACCCAAGCACTTTGTGTCTTGTGAATATCATCAAACATTTGGTTAAAAGCCTTGAACCTCTCTTTTAGTACCGGCTTTTGAACCTTATTATTAACCTGCATTCCTTCTTGATTTAAGCATTGTAGTACTCTACTCCATGTCTCTCTTTGATAACTCTTATGATATCCTCTTAACTCAGATGATCTTTTCCTACAAAAATTATTCCCAACCAAATCGTGGATTTCAGCTGATTCCTTGATCTTTTGTAGAATGTATCTCCCGTTGTTCATCAAGAAGATGTATCTTAATGAAGGATCTTTGTATAGCTTAGACTTTGCCTCTAAGTTTGCATCTAAAAGGCTCATTATTGTCAATAGCTCGGCAGCAAATGGTGTTTGTTTCGGGCCTTGATTCTTGTTGTTGCGGTTATCCTCCTCATCCTGATGCTCTCTTCTCGGCTCTAGGGATTCCAGATTTAGTCCGGTGATGTGGTGAAGAGAAAAGACTTGCTCGAGGCTGTCTTTGAAATCACAAGCATACCACAAGTAGTTCATTGTGTATCGAGTCAGCGGGTGGACAGCCCCTCCAGGAACCGGGTTCCTTGCAACGTCGTTTTTGATGGAGTTCTCTAGATCACAGAAGATGAAAACAGCAGCTTCTCCTAAACGCCGTCTCACAGAAGATAACTCAGACCTCAGCTCATTAGCACATTCCTTAGAGCACATTTTATCAAGGGCGGTAATAAGGTCAGTTAGAGTATCATAAATGTCAATCACCTTAAACAACCTCTCAGCCGAACGCTTTGTCAAGGAAATTGCCTCAGCAAAGTTAAGGAAGAGGATGACTGCTGACCGAGCAAGGTTAGAGAACATGGCATCACTGATCGAGGGGTGCTCATTCGAGAAGACAGAATCGCAGAGTTTCTTCTCACCGGGCAAGAGGACATTTGCCACATACTTGACAATTTTGATCCAATTGCCTATGTGCCCCTCAAGAGACTCCCATTGCATCTTTTGCACTTCATCAATGCTTAGTTTTTCGAACCCTTCTCGTTGCATAGCTTCCTTGAAGGCATTTCTTCGAAGAACACTATATACTTGGCAACATTCGGTTTCATACCCTGCAGAGATCATCAACGAACCAATCTTCCTCATGTTAGATATACTTTCCTCGCCAATCATTGGATAGTTGTCCTCCTCAGATCCTTCCTCATTAGACTCCGTAGCTTCTAGCTTGGCAGAAGAGCGTCTAGAAGGGTTTGCGGAATCTTCTAGAATGATTCGCAGCTCCTCCTCCATGAATGTCATGGCTCTTTGGACAACGAGTGAAGTGAGGCTAAGGCACGAGCTTAATTTTTTTACATTCTCATCAGATGAGGATTTGCTTAACATATTGGACAATTTCGACAACCTACTTACCGAATTGAGCAATACATTGTCTTGTTCAACATCCTCCCCGAACTTCAATGTAGATTCTGATGAATCATACCTTTCAATCTCCACCTGAACCATCTTGGCAAAGGTCTCAACCGTCTGAGAAATCTCAGGGAGATTCGAGTTGTCCTCCATCAAGGAGAGCTTCTCGATGATGCCATCGATTTCCTCGTTGAGCTCTTCCAATGTAGGTTGATGATGAACTACTTCCTCTACCACACCACCATTTTCTATCTCCTTCACATCAGAAACCGCTTGGATCAACACAGCATCATTGGAAGAACGGGTTCTTTGAGGAGGACGAGGAAGGCGACAATCTACATGAACACTAAAACTCGAGGATTTGCTAAGACGTGTAGATTTTTCTTTCTTTGATAAACCACGCCGATCATTAAAGCTACTAGACTTGGATGCAAAAGAATTCTTCTCCATTCTTCCCCCCCTCGAGTTTTTATTTTTATTTTTATTTGTTTTCGGGGGAGATCAGAAAAAACAAAATGGCCTTACAATTTTGTCATAAGCAAAACAGAAAGACAAGAGAGGAGAGAGAAAGAAAGATGAGGATATGGTGGGAAAGAGTGAGAAAGAGAAGCGAAAACAATGGAGAAAATAATGGTCTGAAATTAGAGATGCCTGAAATTTTGATTGAAAAATCTGGAAAATTATACTTTCTTCTAAATTTTTTTTTTCTTCTTTTTTTAATTTTGGATGGCCGTTAATTTTGGGAGGGAATGGCAGTTGATGGTTGACCCTATATGGTGTGAGAGTTTGTGGGAACCACGACTTTTTGGGGGCCCACAACCGTCTACTCTTTTATTGTCAACTTGAGCACATCTGTACATGATAAATATAATACCATATGCTAAAATAAATATGCTTTGTTGCATATAATTAAGTGCCTAAATTTAAAAGAAAAAAGTTTAAATTCAGAGCAATATGCTAAAAAATTCAGAGAGTTGATTAATGAGAATTGTAAGGGTGATTTGACTAACCATAGTATATTATCAGAATATAAATATGGATAATGCTAGACCATTTCCATAATCATGATTTATGATCTAAACGAAGAAATGAAGACACCTTCAAAGCTAAAAAAAAAAAAGACAAGCGAAAAGTACGTAGTAGTATAAGGGTTGCTTATCTGAGGTTTTTTCGAGTTAATTCAGCTGGTCATACTCGATCGATAACATACATTAGTATAGACTTTTAGTTTAATTAGGTTACATAGCTCGACGAATTGTGCAAGAGACAATTTTGGCCGACTAATTGAACAATAAACAAATAAATAGAATGTTTCGTTACCAACTTTAAACTATTAAAACATTAAGAAAAAACATTAGCCTTACTCAAAAAAATAACATGTAGTATAGTAATCAACTTAATAGGAGACATGAGATGGAGTTCAGGACTCTGTGTCTCTGAGGTTCTCCTAATTCTGAGACCATAACTATTCTAGATAGACAGCATAGTGCTACAATTTGAGCCTGTTAGTTAAACAAACCCTCAAACCAAATATGCATATAGGCTTAGCTTATAGCAACTTCTCATACTTTGTGAGGCTGCGTAAAGATGGCAGTGGGCCAACAGGCCAGCAAGAGGCAGGCAAAACCAAGGCCGCATTTTGCAAAGACTGGCACAACACAGGCCACAGGGGCAATGGACTGTCATGATCAATGCACGACTAATAAAGGGAAACGCTTGTGGTGGCTCAAAGGTACAGCCAATGAGCCAATGGGATGGCCGATTGGCCATTATGGCACTTTTTCCATGAGCAGTAATGCCCAGAGGCCGCCATACACTAGCACAGACCACTGTCATAGTGTCATCTTTACTTGAGGGTTGAAACCTATCATGAGAATTTTCACCTAGGCTGATTGGAAAAAAAAAATTACTTACAGAACTAAGATGAGGAAGAGCTTCAACAACAACAGTTAATATATAGAAGAACAACTGAACAAGAGAAGCAGAATTCTTGAAAAAGAGATGCTTCTTGTACAATAAACATGACTAGGGAATGTGTAGATGCTAAGCTCTCAAGGTTACAACAGACAGTGAAGACAGGCCTAAAGAAGATCTAGAAAAGCAAGTCAGTGTTAAAATTCATTAATATGGTAACACCAACTTATATTTCATCAAGTTTAAATAAGTTAAAGTTTCTTCAGCAAGTCAATGTTACCAGAATTTAGCAGATCTTGCACAGATGCCAAATCTGGATACACAGGTGCTCCGGATTTTCTCCAGTTCTCGGCATCTGGAGTCTTAAATCTATCTAGTAATAATGCGTGCATGCCCAAGCTCTTTGCTGGAAGATAATCCTTACGCATGCTATCTCCAATATGTAGAGTTTCTTCAGGAGCAACATTTCCTGCCCTCTCTAATGCAATCTCATAAATCCTTGGGTTTGGCTTCTCTACACCTTCAATACCAGAGAATACTCCAAAATCCCATTCAGAATCCTGAAATTCAGAATTTAAAAGTGTTTTCAAGGTCATTGAACTCACGATGCAGAGTATAGACTAAAAGCCAAGACACAACCTTTACCTGATTTATCCCCAAGGCAGGAAGAATTACATCTTGATAACGGTATTCTGCATTGCTCACTAGCCCAACCAGCATACCTTGAGCACGGACCCATCTTAGGAAAGGAATGGAATCAGGGAAAAGAACATAAGGGGCAGATGAGCCAAATGACGCATATATGCGTCTGAATATCTTCTCAAATGTCTCTTCATCATAGTCATATCCAGCCTATCACCAAGAAAACACTATACATAAGGGGGGCAGCAAAAGATTCTATGACATCTACTGAGGAATTATCCAAAGATGACCCCAATAAGCATTTCCCTTTTTTTTTCAAATACAAACAATCAAACAATTTATGGGATCAATAGCCAAAGCAAAAACATTTACCCTTATGAAGGAGTCTCGAACACATGTCTTCCACCAAACAATATTGGGCATCTTTGCAGCATGGCCAAAGCAAGGATAGTTCTTGGCCATATCAGTATATGCAAGTTTAAAGCCTTCATGCATGCGTTTGTAGTCAGGACATGGTAATCCTACAGCTTTAGCAGCCATACAATAGTAATCTCCAAGCTCCCCTTTGTAAGCTAAGAGAGTACCGGTAGCATCAACAGTTATACAACGCAACTTTGACAAAATTGTCATCTCTGCAGTCCAAACAAGTGGCCAATGTCCAACTATTGCACACTATAGCAAAAAAAAAACTTCAAGATTCAATTATAGTACACTTGCCACACTACAGGACTTCAAGGTTTGCAAGAAAATTTTAACTTTCGAAGATGACTGCAGCTGAAACCTCCAAGCAAGATTTATAAACTCCTACAGTCAGCCATTAAAATCAATAATCTGAAAATTTTCTGCAACAGTACACAAAGAAGTAGGTCAGAATAGGCCTCTAGTGGGGAGTCAAGGAGAAATTTTGGCAAACTTAACAGAAGGAGAAAAAACAACAATATTTGATCAACTAGTCTTGGAACATATAAGTGCAGTGGTAGACTAAACAACCACAAACAACGAGTGCTGGTGGCCTGAGTAGATGCATATCTAATGCCTTGGACATGATCTCCATCTTTCCAAGTGATCCAATGTAGTTCAATATAATCCATGAAAGTGCACGCTTCTCCTAACTATTGGAGACTTGATGCTTCTCAAAGTTCTCAGACTCTTTGCAAGTATCAGACTTGTCAGAAGTTTTTAACACGGATACAAGAAGCTTTATGTGTTTTTCTAATGTAGTTTAGGGATCACACTTAAGTGTTATCATCTGTTTAAGGTGTCAGATGTGTATCAAACACAAGTTTGGCTTAGAAAATTAGAGTGTGTCAGAGTATCAAAGGAGGGTAATATAATCACTTACCTTAGACTCCCAGGGAAGTTAATGATCTTTAAAAAAAATTCTTCGAATCCCCTAAATTTCTTCTTTAATCTATAAGTTTCTAATTCTTAACAAAGTATGTTGAAGTCACTGCTGAAATGGTGCTGAAGTTATACAAGACACAATGACCATCATGGAATAGGAATTAAATCCATTACTTGATTCAGCTATGCGAATGACTGAATGACTTAGCATTTTACAAAACACAGACTTACACAAAGTGGGATCTGATAGAATCATAGAAGAATAGCATTTGCAACACTTTGTCTTTCTTTACTGCTCTAAGCAGCAGTAAAATTTACAGCTTTCCTTCATTTATCTCTACTCAATACCAAGATTTTATCAGACAATTAAATGAAAGTTGTTCAATTAGCATTTTAAATGCTTCAAAGTTCAAACAATTAACATATGATCCACAAATTTTTTTAACATCCATCCAAATACATTTACAGCACTTTGCCATAAAACAGCCTCAACCAATTGTTCTATATTTTTAATGTAATTAAGGGTGTTAACCCAGGTCGAGCCAACTCGAGTTTTACCATGTTTAAATTCAAGCTCAGCCGAGTTCTGACCTTCATCCGATCCCCAACACTTGCTCAAAAGCTTGTATTTCAATGATTATATAATGTACAGAACTAGCTTAAATGAATTTCATAATGCTCAAAAGTTGGAATATATCAAAAAAGTGATCAACTTGATAAAAACAAATAATTTTTTGATTCCTACTTAATGCATCAACTTATGACAACACAAAACTATGGTTCAAGGAAATACCTAGTTTACAGACATCCGACAACTGTTCACAGAATCAACTGATGTTTTTAACAAAAAATTATATGCCATTTTAATCAAATAAACAACAAGTTAATTTGTGACAAACTATGATTCTATATTACAAGAATCAACTGGCATCAAACTTCAAAATATTAAATTAAATCAAATTAGAGTTGTTGAAGTAATAATCACATAAATCAACAAATTTGAAACATGCAATCTCATGTAAAATAGAATAACAATAATCCAAATGAATCAACAATTTAAAATGAATCAATCAAAGAGGCAAAATTAATCAACGAAGAAGAAACACAAATTACAAACGAAATTGAGAGTAAAAAGGAAAATGAAGACATACCCAGATGCAGAAATCAGACAAAGAATCTAAGATAACTTGGGTGAGTCCGAAATTTGTAGCGAATTGGTCAAGCATTTGGGAATAATTTATTTAAATTAAAAAGAAAGAAAGAAAATAGAAGTCTCAACTGGAGAGTAAGAGAGAGAGTGCCGCTGAATTGTTAATTACGAAGTTAACTTTTTATTCAAGCACACAGATTAATGTTGGCGGTGGTAATTACATAAATGGATTTAAGTTATCGTTGGTTTAAGCCTAATCTAGGGGCCTTAAAACGTGAGGTTGGTCTCTAATCTTAAAATGTACTCCGTACTCAAGTTTTCGCAAGAAAAATGATCATTTGACATAAATAACATGTGTCTCCTGCTAAACACTCATTACAATACGGAGTGTAAGGGATAGCTCAAGTGGTTAGAGCTCCCCTCCCAATTTCCAGTAGGATCAAAACTCATCACCCGCTCTTGTAGCTCTCTAAACACCAAAAAATATATATATATACTTTAACTAAATATATTTTCCCATCATTAATATCTTTAATAATATATTATTATAATTGATATTTTTTTATCTGCACCATATTGCAAAGGGAGTAGTAAAATAAATAGTCGAAAATTTATATCTATAAATAATGTATGCTTAGTGTATCAATTATTTTAAAGTCGTAGATAATGACATGACATGTTAATGTGGATTTGAAAGACAAAATGACACAAGAAAAATAGCAAATACATATGATTTGCAAACTAAATCTTTCCAATATATGTTGTGTCTTTCGTCCCTTAATTTTTGTGCCTTTACTATTTCATGGTTTTCAAGAAAAATGGTTGACTGTTAAATTATATCGTAAACTATGTGTTAGGAAGATTATACTTCGTATTAGAATTTAGAATAGAATCAGCATAAGTACCTTACACTTTCTAAAACCTACTGTTAGTTTTATTGCCAAACACAAATATGTTTAATGTTTTAATGCATAACAAAATCATGAAAATCGAAAAGATATTTGACAAGTACACACTATGAAATTCAAATAAGGTTCCACTTAATTATTTTTCAAAATATTTTAACGTACAAATATAGTTACATTTCAAGAGATAGGATAGTAAGATAAGTTCAGACCAAATCAAATCAACAAACATTAGAAAATTTCAAATAAAAAACTAAATTAGTTTTGGTAGTTTACTCTTTTTTGCAGTGTACACATTGAAAATTAGATATTTATAAATAGATAAATCTCAATTAAAAAAATAAAAATAAAAAATCCATTTAGCCAATGATCCCACTTCTGGAGCATTATTTCCATTGAGCCAATGATCTCATATTCCAACTTATGAACTTAGTAAAGCTTTAATTAATGCTCCATAATAAAGGCCTAATCAAATAAACAACCTGAAAAATTACCCATTAAAAATGCTTAAAACTTCCTATGCTTAGCCACGTGGTTGTCAGAAAAATAATACAGTATTAAGCTCTGATATCATCCTTCAGCTAGACAAGGAAGACACTAAACAATAACATGGATTTTCTGTTGGTACATCAACTTAAATATTCCATGAACAATTATCAACCCTAAGCAATTAATATTCTGAATCAAATCCTGTTAATTTAACTAAAAGGAAAAGAAAGAAAAAAATAATAATTAAAATTACAATACTATCCAACACAAATTACAAAAGAAAAAAAAATACAGAAGATTAAAATACACTAATGAGTATGTAATGTAACACAAATTAAACACACCCAAATTCTTTTTCCTACATTGTAATATAATTCATATATATGAATAAATATGATCTGGTCCTATATTTTTCTCCTAGCAATGGAGCTAGGATTTCCATCAAACAACTCCTCAATGATTGTCTCAATGTCATCTGGTTGAAACTTGATGTACTTCTCAACCTGTCTTCCAGGGGTAAAAATCTGTCCAAACCTCGCCACGAAGGACCGGTAAGCCGGAATCATAACAGCAGAAATCGATACTCGAAGCTCCGACTGAAGCTGCTCGTCGCTTACCACCCATGTACTCTGAGTCCTGTGAATCTCATCAAATAACTGATTAAAGTTTTTGAACCTTTCTTTTAAAATAGGCTTGTGTATTTTTCCGTTGACTTGTAATCCTTCTTGGTTAAGACATTGTAACACTCGGCTCCAAGTCTCTCTTTGGTAGCTCTTATGGTAGTGCCTAACATCTGAGGACCGTCTCCTACACCAGTTATCCCCTACCACTTGGTGAATCTCGGTCGATCCTTTGACCTTTTGAAGCATGTATCTACCATTGTTCATTAGGAAAATGTACCTTAAGGATAGGTCTTTGTATAACTTGGATTTCGACTCGAGGTACGAGTCTAGTAAATCCATGATGGTTATGAGTTGCGAGGCGAATGGTGAATGCTTCTCTTCTTGTTGATGCTGTTGTTGTTGTTGATCAACTAGCTTGCGTTGTTGATCGGATGAGGATGAGTGATCAATGGCAGAGAATTCCTCTGTTTGCTCTGTTCTTAAATGTTGTTGGAAGACTTGTTCTAATGTATCTTTGTACTCACAAGCGTATTTAAGGTAATTCATGGTGTACCTTGTTAAAGGATGGACCGCTCCACTAGCCACCGGAGTCTTTGTGTTGTCACCTTTGATCGAGTTTTCGAATTGACAAAAGATAGATACTGCAGCCTCCCCTAGCCTACTCTTTGCAAACCACAACTCCGACTTCAACTCCTTCATGGACTCCTCCGAGGAATACATGGGTGTTTTAGTTTCGACCCAAGGGACCGTGTCACGTAGAGTCTCATACATGTCAAGAAATTTGAACAATTTCTCCGTGGCACGTTTGGTCAATGCAACAGCCTCGGCAAAGTTAACAAGGATGTAGAGGATAGCGTAGGAGATGTCGTTGTAAAGGAATTGGCTAGTGCGTACACGATCAGGAAAAACTGACTCGTAAAATGTTTGCTCCCCTAAGAGAAGGGTAGAGGTGCAATGCTTAAAGACGCAAATCCATGTTGAAATCTCCCCTTCAAGAGGCTCCCAATTCATCTTTTGCACATCATCTGTGCTAATCTTGTCCAAACCTTGCTTCTTCAATTCCTCTTCAAAGGCGTGTCTCCTCGCAATGAGGAAGACATTGCAGCATTCCGTCTCATAGCCTGCAATGATCATTGCATTGGCTATGAGACGGATGCTTGATACAGAGTCGGAAGAAAAGTAAGGGAAGGTAATAGTCGTTTCCTTCCCTTCCTGTTGTTCTTCCGACTCTGGATCACCACCCTCCTGCAACTCGCAGGAGTCTGCCCCTTCACCCGATCCCTCATCCTGGTGATGATCGTGTGGATGGGCAGACGAAGCAAAAGATTGCAGCCTCCCTTTGAGGCTCTTCAACGAAGAATCCGTGTGCTTAGAATTCGAACAATCTGCAGCATTGTTCGAATTCTGGCACACGGGTTCTTCCAGAATCAGACGCAGCTCCTCCTCTAAGAACACCATTACACGGTGCAGGACGGAGCTGGTCTGATTCAACAACGGCATCATATAACCCGATTTCAACCCATGAATCGCCTCCATTAGACCCGACAATCTATTAACAGCTGCTACAAAAGAAGAATCACCCTCAACATCGCGGCCAAAAACAATCGAATCCTGCGCAGTGGACTCGTATTCCTCGATCTTGGCTTCAACCTTCTTAACAAACATAGCTACCTCCTTAGAGATTTCAGGGGGATCATCATTATCGTCATTCGAAGACGAGGACAGGGAAAGAATGAACTGATCAATGTCTTCAGAAAGCTGATCAAGGGTAAATTCCTTTTCCTCCTCCTCTGCCACCGCCTCGTGTTGCTGATCATTCTCTAGTTCTTCATCAACTTCATGAATTGTTACAGGTTGACGTAATTTATGATCGTTATTACTATCATTATTTAAATCTGAACTGACTCGTGCCGCGAAACTGTAGGATTTGCCAATGTCTTTCTCATCTTTGCTCTTGTTATCATCCTGAAATCTTGAATCAAAACTCAAGCATTTCACAGGATGATTATTTGCCATTTTTTTGTTTGTTTGTTTGTTTGTTTTTTTTTTTTTTTTTTTTAATGGAGAGTTAAATGAATTTTGAGGTGTTTTAATGGAATAATGATTAGAAGAGGAAATGGAATAAGGAAGGAAACATAGAAAGAAGGATCATAGCGGGAATGGAGGAAACAGAACAAACTTTGATTCGTTAATGTTTTATTTTTTTTAGATTTTTGTTTTGTGTATATTTTTTAAAATTTTATTTAATAAATAAAATAAGATATGTTTAATCAAAAAAAAATATGAGGTGTAAGGATTATGTTTAGTTTAGAAATGAAAATGGGTAAGAAGTGGTGGATGGAAAATAAAGGAAATAGTTTAATTTTAGAAGAAAGAGAGAAAAATGAGAAATGGAAGGGAGAGGTGTTAGGAAGGTGGTAGTTGACAGTTGATGCATCGTTGGGAATGGGAGGTAAGGTAATGAACATTTCAATCTTCTTGCATTTTGTGCTCTTCACGACCTCCTTTCTTCCCCCGCTTCTATCGCTGTGTTGATGACATTTTTTATTTCTTTTATGCAAGCGTATGGTGTAATATGATACGGATTATCGGATTACTACACGAGACGAATCAAATAAGATTCCATAAAAATGCGTTATGAGTATAATATTATTTATTGTTTTTTTATTTCACAATAATTAACATAGTTAAACTTGGTAAACATGTAAATATATTACGATGATCTTAAATATATATAATTAATTAAATCGTAGTAAAAGATATTAAAAAGTTGATATTGTGATATTTTATACTCGTATTAATGTCTATTAAAAGATAAATTTTTTTTGACACTTTTTGTTTTTATTCCATTATTAAAAACAAGTTCAGGATTACTAGATTAGTATATAAAAATATCGATCATACTAGGACAAGGGGACAAAGTACTACGAGTACTTTAACAGTTTAGCTTGTATTTCCGGTTATTATAATTTAAGATATTTTTTCGCTTTATACCCCTTTGACTATCAATTTGTGATTTTTTAGTAAGATTTAAACTTAAGAACTTCTCATATACTTCCAAAATATTAGGATATTGAGAAAGTGATACGAATTACAAAGTACAAAAGCATAAGAGATTAATTTGTTTAATCGGATTAATTTAGGAGGTTATTATTCTCTTCCCCAATTCCCCCCACTTCTAAAGGGTCTAGTTAGTTACTCCGGGTCATATGTATATATGAGAGGTTCGAGCCCTTTTCCTTACCAACCACAAAATGAGAAAATTGTTACTCGTATTATCTTATTATAAGACAATATAAATTGAAGGTTCATCTGTGGTGCAAAACCGCAAATGGCAGTAAGGCACTCCACATTGCTACTCCAATGTTTATTGGGCCTACGGGCCTTGTTTATGTTTGACATCCAAATGTTGTGAGGTTGATTCTCTAGTTGGAAGCCCAAGAAAATGAAATATGTAGTATACAATATACTACGTACAAATACTCAAATGTACTCTATGAACCTATGAATTTTTTTATACTTGAATTTAAATGTATTTGAAGGGATAAAAAAGTTTTCTTAAAAGCTTTTGTTTACCCTAAACTCCTATGCTTCTTTTAATTTGCAGGATAAGCATGTGTTTGCTTCTCTTCTCATAAATGAATCGATATCTTCATATATTATGTGAAAGGCATATATTCAATCATGAAAAGAGAATTTCATTTAATGAGAACTCATAGGAAATTAATTTTATGATTCAATTACAAATTAGATCTAGAAGAAGTTGGTGGACGGTAGTATCCATAACAATAAGATTAACTTTGTTCACTTCACCTTTTTTTTTTTTTTTTTTTTACGAAAACCTTATGTCCACTTACTCCAAGAAAAAAATGTTTAGAAAAGTTCAAATAACACAAATTAGACCTAGAAGAAGTTGGTGGTATCCGTTACAGTTTGACCTTGTTCACCATGCACTTATTTCAAGGATTTTTATTTTTAATATTTTATTTATTTATTTATTTATTAGAAACCTTTAAATAAGGTTATAAAATATGATAAATTTGAACAATATTGGGGTTCTAATAATAATTAAGAAGGTGATTATGATTTAAATGGTTTAGGGTTTATCATCAATTGTATGATCAAAACATCATCATAGAGACATAGATTGTGAGTTGAAGGTTTCTATATACTTGTAATTAAAGATCCGAATCGAAAATCACTACTCGCCTCAAAGCTTGAAGCGGTAGAGTATGAACTATGTCAAATATGCAAAATAATTATGGTTTTGATTAAGAAAATGTCAATAATCAAGGTAGCCGAATCGAAAATCATTGCTTGTGTCAACACATTTATGTAGTTTCTTTGTATTGGTAACACTATTCAGTTCATTTAATACTCAATAAATAAAAACTATTTTAAAAAAATATTGATAATATTTTGAACATACACACCAAGATTATTCTAACAAAATCACATGAATATGCTTTTCATTGAGTATGAATCATCACATATAGTTAAAAGAATTGTGTAAAAGTTAAATTGTTACAAATATTGGTAAACAAAAAAATAAGGCTTGGTAACTCTATTCATCTTACTTATACTAAGGCTAACAACGAGAAGATAAATAGTACTTTGTACTCTTTAACTATACGTGATAAGTAGTTTATTTTTAAAAAATAAGGCTCTATAACTCTGTTTATCTTATTTATATTAAGGCTAATAACGAGTATATGAATAGTACTTTGTACTCTTTAAATATATGTGATGAGTATTGAGTAGTGTATTTATTATCTAAATTTGTACTGTGTCTAGATCCTCCCATGGACCTATGGACACTCTTTAATTTGCAAGTGTAGCAGCTTGATTGCTTTTGAAGAAAGTGGTGCATATTCATATTCATATTCGAAGTCCAACATATAATGTCAACTTTTGCCCTCTTACGCACATATTCTCATTCCTAAATAACAGTAAATCCGCATTTTCTTAGTCGATCCTTTTCATTTTTGTACGTACCATAACTACAATTCAATGTTAACCCTTCTTTAACCTTTAAGTCCAACTGTGCAACTAATGTTCTATGATCCTTCTGCCTTCAAATATTATTGACTATCTGGCATGCTTATTAAATTAATGTCTTATCTCTGACATTGTAACATTTACTAGTTGTTAAAAGAAAAAAAAGAAAAAAAAAAAAAAACAACAACAACAACGCCTTTAGTCCCAAAATATTTTAGGATCGGCTAACATGAATCGTCATAAGGAATCGTGCGATATAAAGAAAATGACATTACAAGATAATCATTTGAAAAAGTTTAGAAAAAGGTGAGTAGAAAAGTGAGAAAAAGGAAGAGCATCCAAGAAAAATTAAGGGAGTTTTAAAACAAAAGCAAAATAAGTTTTAAGAAAGTATTCAAGGAGTGGTTAAAACATTAGAGTAATCAAAACATAATAGTGTGAGAAAACTTTAGCAAATGAAATCAATATAAGTGATAAAATATTAGTGAGATACATAATAAAATCAAATACTAAAATAAATTTAGAAAGTATATATAGAATTATGACTTGTCGTTGACGTGCTCCCTCCACAGCGCCTTATTTAACACCATTTTCTTCTTTAATTCCCAAAGGACGTACTCATATCACTCTCAACCACCCTCTTCCCAGTTTTCTTAGGTCTTCCCCTACCTCTTGTTAAGTCGTGATCCCTACACTTTGCAATTCTTCAAGCCTCCTTTACCGGAGCATCACTTGGTCTCCTTTTTACATGGCCAAATCATTTTAAGCGATTCTCCAATTCCCAATTATCTCATTACTCAACCAATCCTTTCTTGTATAGCCACACATCCATCTCGATAAAACATGCACATCTCTGCCACATTCATTTAATTGTGGTAAAATTGGTACTCATACAAATGTAAATCCTAATTAATTAGTTTACCTGCATGACCATTAACTTTAATTTGTGGTAAGACTGATACCCATACAAATATAACCCTAATCAATTTACTTACATGACCATTATTAACTTTAAATCTTTGGTATGTGATATATAAATTGAGTACGACCCTGTTCTCATCAGATTATTTTCAATTCATTTCAGTTCAGCTCTAATAAGTTTAGTTCAGTTCAGTTCAGTTCAGCTTCTAATTTCCTTCTCTCATAAAATATTCATTTCAATTCAATTCAGTTCAGTTCAGTTCAGTTCAATTCAGTTCAGCTATAATAAGTTCAGCTCAGTTCAGTTAATGAAAACAAGCCCTACGTATATGTTTTTCTTCTTCTTACAATCCTTGCACATTCGTATTGAAGACTACATTCAACGCTAACATTAGATAATTTTTGTAGAATTTTATGTATAAGACTTTAATTAAGGTGGTCTCCCTAATATGATTTTCTTAATTACAAAAGGGTATGGCTTTTAGGTGATATCCGTGAAACAAGCAGCGTATCGTACTATCATGTGGCAAGTCAACCACCGCGTAATTATGTTTCTGTTAATCAAATATAGTCTCGTTCCCATTTAGAAGCTTGGAATTGAGATTAGTGCAAAACAACCTATCGTATTGTTTGCTCCAAACATTTATTAAATTATATTGTCATTGGTTGATTGACGCATAGTGGGGAATATGAATAATAATAATAAACCCATCTTCAGAAAGGTGGATACTAGTCGATTAATACCTTTATTCCTGAAATTATAACACTTTAACCGTCACATATGTCAAACTGCTTATGTTAAAAGCAACAATCCAACGTGTAACATAATAATATTTGATTTTTGTATATTAGTAAAAAATTATAGTTATTGTTAATAATTTTTGTTGCGAGTATTAAGGAACACATGAATCTAATATATTACAATAATAAACTAGTTAAATAGTACTCCGTACTTCCGTAGTAAGTTTTGTGTGTGGCCAGGCAGGTTAGCTACATAATGTGACCACATTTATTTAAAAGAGTAAATCTTATTTATTAATATATATATATATATATATATATATATATATATATAATTTCAAAATATTCATAAACCCAATTTATTATGCGTAACTATTATGTGTAACCCTAATTAAAAAAAAAAAAATAACCTTACTTATTCATTCGAGTTGAGTTAATCCTTATTACTACTCAGTTAATCTATACTTAGTATTTAAAAACTATAACCAAGAAAATAAGAAAACACATGTCCCCATCCATCCTATTACACTTCTCTAACCATAGTGTCACATGTCATCTTACACTATTAATTTTTTATTACACCATTTTTCTTTAATTCTTTCATTAAACTTATAATCCATCTTTCATACACACTTCATCTCTCCCTTTTAATTCAACCTTTTTCTATTCTCTCTTTAATTTTAACCCTTCCACCTTCTATTTAAGCCTCTTTTTCGATTAAAGTTCCAAAATATTAATTTCTTTAATCATGTTTCCGATTACATATTATACCCTATAATGACTTACTGAAATTTCCTCACTTATCTATTAATACAATTTTATATGAATAACCCGTGCATCGTACGGGACAGAATGCTAGTTGCTTATAAGTAAAGTGGCCACATATAATAATAATTATTTGTGATTAAATAGTACTTTGTATTTAGCTAACTTGTAACTTTGTAAGGGAGTATAATAATACAAAGTATAAAATGTCTAAAAGA